CCAACGTCTCTTCTCCAGCTGGGTTGCATCTTGTCGCCATTGGGGCCATGTTTGAAGTGTTGTCCTGGTGGCAAGGACGTTCCGACGCAGTGGTTTTTTAAGGCCATCAGGACGAGTCTTTTTATATATGGCCCAAAATAGCTGGTATTAATAGGTATTGATCCATAGCCATATGTCTTCTCCAAAAACTAGGAATCAAACTAATCAAACCATGTGTCATGACCTTGTCATTCTCAGAATTTCTCAGACCTCACTGACCTCTGAATGACGCGGCCCGAGAGCTGCCTGGCACCTTCTTTGCTTTCCCCAACCTCGGATGCGCAGCCAGGTTGCGACTCCAAAGGCCCCTGATTTCGACCGAAATTCGAGACCCCTTGGAGTCTTGGACCCACAAATTGGCTCGTCACTCAACTTCATGCAGACTTAGCCTGGACCAGTCTTGTGCGGACCGCCATTGATCACACCAAAACTGAGGTTTCCCGCTTCAGCCTGTGTCGGGAATTGCCAGGATGTGGGGGGAGCAAGTTGAGGAATCCACTATCTCAGGGGTCTCATTGGATCTCAGAATAGATTCAGTTGGGAGGCTTCCCCCACATGTTTTGGCTTTGTTTGTAGCACCAAATCCAAGGTTGACATCTGCGGCCGGAAGGTGGATTCCCCGCACCTGTGTTGCAACTGCTTGGATCGCGGCTTCAAGGAGATAGAGCTGTAGTCGTCAAAGTTCAGAGGTGAGGGCCTTGGTATCATAGGCGGGGCAATCTTTGGATGCTATTCCTGGCAATTCATGGTACTTTCACCCATTCGAACCCCTCAACGTCCCAAATCAGAGGATCACGATTTGCATCTACCCAAGTTGGAGGTCAATGATTTTTCAATCCACCAATGGCAGATTACGCCGAGTCAGTGGAGGAGGAATGGAAGCCATGCCAATGAGGCACTTGGCTGTCGGTCCTAGGTCCTTCCATCCTTGTCACTTAGTGGAAATTGCAGAACTGTGCAGAGTACACGTATCATTCTCGCAGTTTTGAAGCATCCCCATTTCAAACATGTTAATTATTTTGCTGATTTGAAGCAAGTTGAACCAAGTTGGAGAAAATTGCACCAAATAAAAAAAAAAAAAACTTAGATGAACGCCCATCCCAACCGTCGGCAAGCGTCGGCTGCAGCTGTCTGAGGTACTTCTCTGTGCCTGGGCATCGTAACTGGGTAATTGGATTTTAGGCTACAACCAGTCTACTATCGTTGATTATAGATGATCATAGTTGCTTCAAGATTAATGATTGATGTGTATAATCATCTTATACAATTATATACTCATTTCTTACACAAGTTATCACATCGTTGGCATCTAATTGTATCTTAAAGTCTGAAATAGATTCTAATCATGGTAAATTACATCTGGATTCGATTGCCAAAAAATATTATCATGGTAACATATGGATCAATTCTGGTAATTCACAAACCTGAAAAGTTCAGCCATTTGGAGTTAGTGACTCCGACTCAACACCATGGAATGGTGAAGTTGCAACGTGAGTTATAATTCATTCAAACTTGTAATAGGCATTTGAAGATAATATATATGTTTTCTATGTGGAATATCTAGGCAAACATCCACCCACGTGGACACCAAAATCCTCACTGGTTGTTTGGAAGTCTTTTGACATTGCTGAATATGCATATAGACATAAGCCAAAAATCATGCATGCTTCATAAGAATCCTGGGTCACCCTGGGTCCTGGTTTTTGGCCAGACCACTATTGTTGCAGTTGGATGCAATTGGGAGCTTGATAGTTTTCATACATGTTGTCATGCGTGTTCATACGTCAAAACCCTTTGAAACACCCGATAAACCTTTGAAAAAACCGAGAATACGATGTACGACGAAAACCACACTCCCTTTTTGTAGTCAATCTAAAATGTGCCACTTGCAATAGTATTGAGTCTAGTAACTTGTACTATGATATCTATGATTTTAATTACGTTCATTTCCTTCGCTTTCTTGAGACAACTTTATCGCTTTTATTAGGGCTGCAGGAAAATCAAAACGCTGTGTAAAGTGTTGGAGAGCGCGCGTTAATAAGGTGAAATAATAGAGACCCTGTACTAGGTCAAACGAAAACCACACTCCCCCTTTGTAGTCAATCTAAAATGGTGTCATTCTCATATGATTTCATGGTCAAAACCAGGTTTTTCTGGGTGGATTGATCCCTGTTTTGTCCATCCACCACATCCAACATGGGAAAGCAACCCATGGATTTGACATGGGTATGGGTCAAAATTAGGTACCCCAAAATTATGGATGGTTAATACTAAACTAGACTAACATCTGTGGTTCCCTAGGTCTTCCATTTTGACCCACATCCACATGATTTGACCATGGTTTCCACCATCTTTTCATCCTTTCCCAAGAAAACCAGGAGAGTTTCTCCCGCACCTCGCGCACAGCCCTCGGGCGCCCCTGCCGTCCGTCAGCGTCATATGTAAGTTTGGCTCGCTGGCCATGCTTCGACCTAGGGTCCCAAGTCACGGATTGGGGTCTTCCCCAGGAGGTTTCCTATTGGGGTACCCCCAAATGGGCGGTTTAGAATGGAAAATCCTATGAAAATGGATGAGTTGGGGGTTTTGTCATCTAGGAAAGCTCCAAATACTGGTGCTTAGTAGGGAATGAGGAAATGATCCATAATGACTATTTATAGTAACCACATTCCCATCCATTCCCATCCATTCCCATCCATTCCCATCCATTCCCATCCATTCCCATCCATTCCCATCCATTCCCTACTAAGCACCAGTGAGATTAATGTGGGTAGTAGAGCCCCCGAACTAAGTATCAACCAACAGGAGTTTTGAACTTTTTTTCGGAATGCTATGGCCTAGATTGCAGTCTGAAGCTATTTCAAGCACATCACATCTAGTTTATCAACCTTGGAGCTGAGGAATTGTGGTGAACAAACACCTGTCCACTTCACATCATCTGAAGGATTTCAAGCTGCAAACAGTATGATCATTCCAGTGCTCCGGAGATAGATTTGGTGCATCAAAATTATGGTACCCTTCTGTTCACACCAAAAGAGCTGGTGGCTGTCTGTCCCCATGGGTAGAATGGGTTCTGATCCATCCTTCTTTGATCGTTGAGTGCTTCCCTCAGCTGCAGACCCATTGACGTCCCCTGAGGAATGGATGAATTTTGCTTTGGGGAAGCGGGTTTATACATAATTGTGGATGATGTAATGAAGTAATGATGAAGTACAATAATTCACCAACCTGAAAAGTCCTAACCATCATCTCAGTGACGTCACGAGGTGATGTCGTTACAATTTCAGATCGCTCGTTCCCTGAGGTCTGGCTTTTGCCGGCTGCCCTTCCATCAATAACCACCAGGTAGTTTCAGTAATACACTACACCAATATACACCTATCCATCTATAAATGGGGAAAAATGTAAACTAGGTCATGAATTTATGATGTCGTTCATTGCACTATAATTGATGATCCATTAATCTACAAATTTTACACATGTCATATCGGAAATTGTCAGATTTCCCATGGGAAGCCATGCCTGGAAGGAGCCATGATGGGTCCACCTCGTGGGCCTCAGTGACTGGTTTTTTTTCGGATCCAATGGGGGTTTTGGTGTTCGAAATTGTGTATTTAATGAATGCTACAGCTATCATAAAACATATTGCATATATGTATATATATACATAATTGATGTGTATATATATATATATACATATATATATATATATACACATACATGTATACCAGCTATTTTGCCTTGAAACCAGAATACCTTTATCTTCACCCCTTCTGGGGAGATGCGGGCCCATCAATAGTCCCATCCCGCTAATACTTAAAATGTGTATACTGTATGTGTGTATATATATATATATACATAAATATAGGAACTCAACAATATGTGAATAGGACATATAGGACCCAATACAAAACCAGGGCTTCTGCGGAAGTATATCATATTCGGGGGGAGAGATTGTGACCAAAACTCATTTGTTCTGGAGGCCTTCAATTGCGACCCATGCCCATGCCTCGATCTGCACAGCGTGTGACCAGTCACACGCTGGGTCGCTAGGTGCCCCCTCAAGGCTTCCGAGGGGATCTCGTCATAGAAACTCCGCGCTTGCGCCTGCAAGGTGTCCTGCGAACGAGGTCGGATGATCCCAAATAGGTTGGAAAACAAAATGCATGTGAAACATTGTGGAACCACCAACCAGTGGACATGATGTGTAGGGGAAGTGTGATTGTGCTGAGGCCAAATGGATGTGTTCAATGGCTCACATGGCAAAAAAACTCTGGGCTGAGGCCGATTTTGACAGTCCTGAAGTTTGAGCCACTCACAAATCACTGACGCCTCACCTTGCTACACACTCCAACACTCTTGACTCTTGACCGAAAAATCTTTCCAGCTACCAGTGGTAGACCAATTAAAATCCCCGCGCCTCAAATTGTTTCAGGGTCTCAAAGGTCTGTAGGGCCACTTTGAGACGTCTAGAGTCGCCTCAGAAGACAGACTTTGAAGTGGGCCAACACAGTATCTGTTGTGTTTCTTGTTCATGGTGCACCCCAGCGTCATTCCAGGTACACTCCGGCAACATTGGTGGATTCCGTGGATGATGTCTGAAATCCATTGGTTTTTCATGGTTTTTCAACATCGGTATCAGAATTTAGGCCCTATTTTGTGAAATCCCTTGGCAATTATCAATAATTGTGGTTCCAGAGCCTAGTTGACCCTCCGATGTATGCCATTGGCATCTCCCTCCAAGGTGCTAGTGAACAATAGCGGGCAGAAGAATGATTGACATGACAAGTTCCTGAGGACTTTTGTCGAGCGCAGTGGGGCAAGCCATGTCGTTCCAACAGGTCATGTCGGCTGCACACTGTACAAGATTGTGACCTAACCGCTGTTCCTGCCAAAATCCATCAACGGCTGTATTTCCTTCCTGGTGGTTGAACCACGGATGCTAAAACGATACTTGGATACTTGGATTGTATATTTTGGCAGGTACCGGTAGGATGGAAAATAGGCATTCAAAAATACTTGAAAGCACCCACCAGCTCCTGCTTGCTTTAGAAGTTGCTTGAAATGCTGTTTTTCTCAGCATCTCGGAGCAACACTCTGGACCAGACCATTCCTTTCCCGCGTACTGTACTGGGCGGCGCTTAGCCTGAGCCACACGGGCCACACGGGCCACACGGGCCGCACGGGCCACAGGCCCACAGTCTCACTCTTCCAAAGGATCTTGCCATCTTGCCTCTCTTAAGGGCAAACGCCACAACTGCTCCTTGGCTGCCACAAGGATGAGGATTTTTGGCTGAGACAGGGTGAGCAGTGCTTCCTTTGGATGCTCTCCATTTCAATCCCCTATACAACCCCTGTAAACAGCAGTAGAAGCACCAATCACCAGTAATCTTCGTTTTTGGGTGCTCGGCCGCTGAAGGCTGGTCTTGCAATGTAAATACAGATCGCATCTATCTCCTTGGTGTGTGTGTGTGTGACCAAACCGGCCCTTATTTTACAGGTTTTGGCCTTTCTGAAAGTGAGGGTTTGTTGCCAAAAACAGGGAACGCGCTCGTGCCATCCCTTTGAATCAGCTCCTTCTTGCTTGAAAAGTGTCCCCGGCATCAAAAATGACCAGGCAATCCTGGTCCGAATCCTCAGATGAGAAAGAAGAAACAAGGTCAGAAGGGGCACAAAACATGAATATATCCATGAAAATCCAACAAAATCCAACTCCTGATCTGCCCATCTGCAGGCTTCGCTTCACCAAGAGGCGTATGCAGCCAACGCCACAGAGAAGGAGTCTGAGAAGCCATCGATTTCAAGGCACACATGGCAAATCAAGTCGTAGCCTCAAGGGATGGGCCCAATTCGGAGCATCATGGGGATGTTCCATTGCCACATGCACCACATGCAATGAACAAAAGGCAGGGAATGCAATCCATGCCCTGGAGAGAAGTCCCTTCTTGGGTCAAAAAGTTAGAGATACTCTAGTGCAATAATCCCCAATAAGCCAGTTAGTATAACTCTATTTATTAATCCATCAACAGACCAACAGAGGTCTGTTTGATGGCCCATTTGGGCATGCGAATTCCAGAACTTTTGGAAGGTCCCAATGATGTGAGGCCCGGCAGAGTCGCTCATGTGGCGATGGTGCAGATACACATCTGGACCAAAGGATTGTCTTTTTCCATGTTTTTTGTTGCAGAATCTCAGAATCCCAGGGTCTTAGTCTTAGCCATACATGTTGATGTATTTTGATGTTGTTCGTTTCTGGAATCAGAATGAACTGGATTGTTTTTTGACCAGTTTGAACTGACAAATCTATGACTCCGTTCGACCAAAGCATGCCAACCCACAAGCTAAATCGACTGTCAACTCAAATTTTAAAATGCCTTCTGATTCAGCATCTTACTTCAAGTCCCTGCCAATATCTTCAACATTTCGCACAAAAAATGTCAAGAAATGAGAATGTCATAAAATGCTCATGGATTTCACGGGTTTTGCCCAGCCACTGGAGGATTCATACCGTCTCCCCAGCTCGGCGTCAGGATTGCAGCGCACGCGATAGACGCTGCAGGTCGGCCCGCCCAACGCCTCTGTCACCTCCGCGTCGGAATCGTCGTCGGTGGCCAGGCTGGCATATTGCAAGGCAAAGTCGTGGAGGAAATAAAGATCCTGGAGATTTGGTCCAAAACTGGCTTGAGCTCCGCTTTTTCGCAAGGGGAGAGTGAGGTTTCAACCACAAGGCTTTGAGGGATCAGATGATCAGCCCATTTTGATCCAGAAAATGGGTGAAGCATTGGGTCCCCCTCTGCTGTTCGGATCAGCTGAAGCTTGGAACTTTGTTTTCAACAATCCCCAGGCCGACCCCCCTTTGGAATCCCACGTTCGCCATGCTAATACCATCCCCTGTTCATATTAAACAACCCCCAGAAACCATGGTGGATGGGATGATCCTGAGCTCCGTCCTCCGTCTTGGGATCCAGAACCACCCATTTCGTATCACCCTGAAAGTGGCAAGCCAGATAGGATTTCTAGACACCCTCTGGTGTCATCAAACATAGCGATGGGAAATCCCCGAACTAAATGGAGTTCTTAATTTAATGGCAAAATCAACCAAAAATGAATAAATTGTTGATTTTCCATGATTTTCCAGCAAGCCATGTTTGATTAGCGGAAGGTACTAATTATATTAAATGGACAAATGGACCAACATCTGTGGCCCTGGACTTAAAATTTGACCCATATCCAAACGTTGCACTGATACAATTGTTGAAGGTAATCTCCCACACGTTTTGGGAACTATCACTCCAACTACAAGAAAATTAGATGGACAAGGTGAAAAAGTAATTGGAAGTCTCCTCGTTTGCTATCGTGCGTGTATATCCATATATTCTCACATGTTGATGACTACAGTGATTCACAAAAATGTAGATGATTTAAACTCATCAAGCGATAATCATGCTGGATTGTCGCGAGAGGATCAAATATGTCAAGGTACGAATAGACTGGTCTAAAAAGCAGTGATGACGAAGAGCCCAGTGGTCTTCATGGGTTTGGGTGAAATATGCCCAAATTCTGAGGCAAACCCACCACCAATTTGACGCCAGAGGGACATTCTCCTTCTCGAAGTCGAACTTTGGGAGAAGCACCTGCCATCCACTTGCGCAAGGCTTCGAGGCTCCGAGGCGGGCGCCAAAACGGTTGAAGGGACCAACTACCCCACCCTATGAGTAGATCCCATATCACGTCAATGTTTCCAGATACTTCTCATCTTCGTGAATGATTGGATAATAATAATAACAATAATAATATAGTTTAATATATTTAAAACTTAAGAGCATTGGAATCCAATGCGTTGAGCTCTGTAAATCAACCTGATGGCAGCGGAAAAAAAAGGGCGCCTCCACTCGCTCACCCAAGGTCTCTGTTGAGATGCTGTAGATCGTCCTCAGCTGAGCAAAAAAGAAATCAATCTGACTGGTGACCATCCCCGTTGAGCTGCAGGGTTCATAAAGGTTCCAATCTTGGACTGACAACCCCGTGGGGGGAAAAAAAAAAGGTTGGAAACCAATCATGGGCTACCAAGGGCGTGAGAAACATCAAATATGATAAAATGATATAAACTAAACATTGAATTCGTATGAACCCTGTTGGTTCATCCTCTGGTCATCCAACATGCCTTGACTAGTCAAGTTTGAGGACAGCAAAGGGAAACCATACCATATCACATATGGTTAGTTCTACATTCCCGGTAGTATCCCCATTAATATTCCGACAATATTCCTACCAACATGCTATTAATATCCCAATAATAGTTCGTTCATCTTCCGTTCAAATCCCATGAATCTCCAACCATCAACGCTGACCCAAAAATCGCACCCTTTTTGGCGCACCAGTGGTGCGGGGCCCAAGGGTCAGCTGTTCATAACCTGAGTGCTCTTCAAAGAAGTAAAGGCGCTTTCCCTCCTGCATCGCTTGGGACTCCGGGACGTGGTTGGAGGCAGAGCTGAGATGGAAACAAAAAAAGGGAACAAAATGTGGAGATATGAAAGGAATGTTGACGTTGGAACAATCTAGGTTTGCTACAAGGCCATGTGTATGTATATATATATATAATCACATATATATATATAATCACATATATATATAATCACATGTATATATATATATATACCTAATTGAATATATATATATATAATCATATATATAATCGTATATATATATAATCATATATATATAATCATATATATATAATATTATATAATCATATATATATAACTAACCATAATCATATATTGGTTCATCCATACCCAATCCAGGACCAGAATTACTTGGGATAAATGGTCTATGTTTGATACAAATCCAAATACATGAGTTCCATGGCAATAAAATGTGATTGCCGTGCAGTCGAACTCCTGGTCATCTGAAAATCCCATCCCCGCAATATCAAAAATACCTCCAATAGAACTCCATCCTAGGAATAGATCCAATAGTAAACCTGGATTTCAGAGCAAGGGCCAATACTAAACCTGGATTTCAGAGTCATAGGGGAAGGGTGTCCAGAAATGACCAAAGTGGAAAGTTGAGGAGAAAAATTACAATGACCTGCCCGTTAAGTCTCTCAGGTCCTTGTCGCTACCCGCAAATCCACCAGAGCTGCTTTCAGAAAGGGGGCCGCACTTCTCCTTGGACAAGTTGAGCCGCTGGGTATGAGTATACTCTGTATAGGAAACAAAAAAAAATGCCATAAAACAATGATCTCTGGAAAATTGTTGCTGAAAACGATCTGCCAATCTGTGGTTTGGAATTCAGTCCATTTTCATGCAGGAATGGGTCAACTTTCGGTCTCCGAGATGGGTCTAGTTTGAGGATCAAGCTCAAGTCTTAAGAAACAAACACGAAATGCGGTTCAATCTTCCATTGATCCAGATTGATCCAACCAGTTTTGGCCAAGTTTCTACATCTGCCCATTCTGGGAAAGACAGTCTCCCCCATTCCAAGTCAAGATCACATCGAAGAATCACTCGGCCAGCCATAGGACCTGGCGACTTGGCATCGAATCTTGGCACTTTTTAGCTGCTAAAGCTCTATTTTTCCATCTCACAGCACCCTGAGTTCTCCCAATTTCAGCAAATCCTCCAAAAATTGGAGCCTCCGTTGTGGTTCGTTCTGGAACCAACCGCATAAGTGCGCTGGTCTTCGGTCACATAGAACTTCTGCATCTGCAGTCGTCCTCGGCGATCAGGGATTGGTAGGGTGCCACGGTGCCACCCATGTGATCTTCAAATCCTCGAACTACCAAGCCCTGTCTATACGACACATCGACTATCAGCAGGTTCCATTCACTTGGTAGTTCACCTGTTAAGTGGCTTGACAGGATGCGAAGATTCGGGTGGTTCTTGAAAATTGGGGATACCGGGATACCCTAACTCGCCTGTGGGTGGGAAGCTTAGCTCCCAATAATGGCTGTAATCGGGAATATGGATACCCATAGCTCAAAAACGCTCCCTCCTTACCACTGAATGGCCAAAGCCATTGAAGGCACCGGATCAATAGTGATCCCAATTTTGAATGATTTGGGGATCCCTAATCCGGAGATCTTAGTGTGATCTGAGAACAAGATCCACAAGATCCTCATCCCGTTCCCACGTGTCCAATATCCCCATGTCACACTCCATTGATCGTGAATATCCCAAATTTGCCTAATTTATCTCTCGCGAATATGAAAAAGAACTTCAAAACGCAAGTAATTAACAGCCATGATTGATGGTTAAATCCCTATGTCTGCTGATTCATATCCCCAACATCGAATTCCATTGACTCAGCTGCCTTCAAACGCTGCCATGAGCTTCTCATCCTCCGCGTGTCTCCACATCACCTGCCGCTCCGACTGACCAGGCTGCACCAGCACCAGCTCAACCTTGCGCGATGGGTGGTGACACCTGCCAAAACCACGACGTTGTTGAAGAGCAAATCATCACTTTCGAGGGGCCAAAGTAATGGTTGAAAATCCGGATGTGTTTTTTTGGAACTCACTATTGCTGGTTGGTGAAAATGTGAAACATATATAGGTATGGATCAAGATTGCGGAATGGACCATGATGGTAGCAAAACCCCCATCTCTGAGTCATTTGGAGATTGCATCCCCAACATGATCGAAAACAGACCTACTTTGGCTCAACACATTGGTTGTTTACCTGGCCATGACGCTTTCCTAAGATCTCCTAGTCAGGTTGCAGGGCAACCAGTTCCTGTGAGTGATGCAGCACATCGGCTTTAGCACCAGAAAACATGATCCAAAGTACCCAAGGTCAACTATGCATTAACGCTGTCCTGATTCCAATGTGCATCAAGACGCTTATCATTACTCTATATATATATATATTGGAGATATATAATACAGTACATATATAATTATATATATATATAGATATATACACAATGTATGTATGTATGTATATATATATATATGTATCTATATATACGTATATATAATCATGTAGTTTTGTAATGCCCTCTGGTATACTCCCGGGCTCGGTTTCCGGGGGTGGGGTGGGATGGTTGTACCCGACGTCTGAACTGTTTGCTGCTCAATGAACTGACGTTGCAAGAGGGGAACTCTACATACAGTGTACTATCATTGCAAAATATATACAGTATATATAATATCATTGTATATCATTGTATAACTGTACCATAACAGCGCATCCACCATATGTTGGCGTGCTTCCCCGCAGTGTATGAAGTTCATGTTGCTGATACTTCTCCAGGTCACAGTGGGGCCGCTTGCACGTAGATGTGATGTGCCGGAGGATGAGACGACATTCCTAGCTGCGCAGCACGGCAACGCATCATGAAAACCGTTCAGGCAGTCCCGTCCCTGCACTTCCTGGACTGGATAAAACAAGTGAGGTCACTGCACTGGCTAGTCAGCTCAATTGTCAATACCAAGTCCCAGGTGCAGCTTCATTAGAATCCTTGGGAAAGTTACCACCTTTCCAGCTGATTTTCCGCAATCTTACTCCATTCACGGCCAAATCCTGAGAATGCCAAGCATCATCAAAGCCTTGCCACCAAGAAGTGCCAGTGTGGCAGGACCACGCTGCAAGTAATCGGCTTCCATCCTACCACTCGGAGCAACTCGGAACCAAATGGAAACCGATCCCAACTGTGAAGAAAATGGGATGGTTCCCATCCTCCTCTTCCTCTTCCTCTTGCTCTTCCTCTTTCTCATCATCATCATCATCATCATCAGCAGCAGCAGCAGCATTGTCATCGTCATCATCAACAGGATCATCAACAACAACAACTACTACTACTACTACTACTAATCTACTACTACTACTACTACTACTAATTTACTACTACTACTACTACTACTAATCTACTACTACTACTACTACTACTACTACTACTACTAATCTACTACTACTACTACTACTACTACTACTAATCTACTACTACTACTACTACTACTAATCTACTACTACTACTACTACTGCTAATCTACTACTACTACTACTACTAATCTACTACTACTACTACTACTCTACTACTACTACTACTAATCTACTACTACTACTACTACTACTACTAATCTACTACTACTACTACTACTACTAATCTACTACTACTACTACTACTAATCTACTACTACTACTACTACTACTACTACTACTACTACATCTACTACATCTACTACATCTACTACATCTACTACATCTACATCTACATCTACATCTACATCTACTACTACATCTACATCTACATCCACATCTACATCTACATCAACATCAACATCAACATCAGCTGCAGCAGCACCCAACTATATTGAAGATTATTGAACTGGTTCAGACTTCTAACTCAAACTGTATCCCGGAAATTTGGCCTTAATTTTGTCGAAAAACCTACAACTGCCCACAGTGCCACTATGGCCTGAACAGCATCGCCTGGTCCTTTATTTGATGAGCCTCGGATGGCCGGGGTTTCAACCCAGGCGCAGTGGACCAGGTTTGGCTTGATTGACAGGTGGAATTTGTACTCTGCATGCCAAATAAAACATCCGCTCCGAAACTAAAGGAAATCGATTGTCAAATGGCAACCCTCACCAAGCCTATACCACTCAAATTGCGCTCCTCACTGAAAGTAGTGCCCATTTCAGCTGTATGCCGGGCCGCAGTCGCCACAGTCCTGGTCGTGTTCAGCACGACCTCCTCTCGCAGACTGCAACCTGTAGGGTAGACCTTGTTGCGGATCAAGTTGATGTGCCCGTGAAAGCTGCCTCTGCTGGGGCTTTTTGGGAGGCACTTGGATCTTTGGGATCGAATTCTGCGTTGGGGCGAATTTCTACATTTGTTTATCTCATTGTGGAGCGACACAAAGTTGACTCCAGAAGGGTTTTCAGTGTCTGGGGCGAAGTTTGACCTGTAGGTTTTATCCCCATAAAGGGACCCAATAAAGTCAGTATAATTCGCGTTTTGGCCATGATTTTTGTTTAAGAATGCAGGTGTCAGCTGGACCTGTTGCGTTCCTAAGCCACAATCCTAATCAAACTCGTGAAAGACATTGCGTTCAACATCCATTCCATTTTGGTCAAGAGTCAACATCCCATCTTCATTTTCGTTGGTCTAGAAGAAACAACTTGAAATTCCTGCGATGTTGCTTGGAATCCCATGCTTGGTTGAAAATCCTTGAACATCCATAGGGGTCATCCACAAGGACAGCGGGCACCTCCTTTCTCCGAAAAAGATCTACGCCAACAAATGTAAAAGGCCTTGGGATCCACACTTGGCACCTGTGGATGGCGAGATCTGCTTTGCAAACCATCCAAGAAATGGGTGATTCATGTCCTTTGGACTATTTGGAGGGAGGTGTCGCCAGCGACTTCCTCTGATGTTCCAATGCAAACTTTGGGGGACATGTACCAACCCCTTTGAAATTCCATGTTTCTTCAAATTCGACCAACTGGGAAGCGACTGATTACCTTTGTTGCTACCTGTTCAAGAAGTTTCACAGCACAAACGATCGGAACTGGGGAATCAAATGACAGACCTGCGCACCCGAACCACCCGTCACGAATTTGCTACATCGATGGTTGTGAAGATTCCGAATCATCGAATCTTAGGCCATAATTTAGGCCATGGTTGGCCTTGAAACCACGACTTTTTGATGCGAAATCACCCCTTTGTCATTCCTTGTCATGAATTGTCATCCCTTGTCGCCTGTCGCAAGAAGCTGTCGTGCACATGGTAACCCTCTTGACCGATGGCCGCGTGGTATGAACAAACGCATTCCGCAGGCGGTCGCACCCGGATCAGTTGGAAAACTCCCTGGCAACTAGAACCGGTGGTCACATTTCGGGCGACCGAAGCTAAGGGGAACCGGTCATCACCTACACCTTTGGAGATTTTGGAGTATGTCAATATAATTTTTTGTCAAGTCGTTTTGAGTTTTGAGCCACAACCAAATCTGAGCAAAGTTTTTGGATGGTTTTCGGTTGATGCGGGGAGGAGTGCAGTACATCCAATTCCCACCGGCCGTGTGGGCCTCGAACAATCTGTTGTTTCGTGGTCCGTTTTGGACATACCACTGGTACAAAGTTATTTAGATTTGTATCATCAGTTTATTACAAATTTATCCACATCAAAACGGGAAAAACTAACAGTTTGACATCATTATAGTTGAACCATCTATAAATGAGCCATTTTCCACAGCTATCCCCAAAGCTGAGAATAAACAGCCACCCCCTTCTGGCCCAACCTTTGGAGGGAGGATGCCCAGGGACTTCCTGGGCTCCAGAGAGTGTGTATATATATATATATACATATATATATATATACATATACTAGATACAGCATTCCATTACATTGCATTGTATTGCATTACATTCCGCTGCATTACATGTATGGAAAAATACATATAATAAATAGAATACGTAAATACATCTACGTATGTATGTCGTATGTGCGTGCGGATGTCCATAATTACATAGGCATGTTTCTTTAGGGATACATTTTGGATGCTAAAACACATAGAATGCAAGTGCCTGTTTTCTTTTCCCAATGAAGTGTCAATGGCTCAAAATGATCAGCAGAAATCAAGCCGCATGGCACCCGCTTACCCCCGATCCCAAAAAACTATGGTTCAAAACGAAATTAAGGCAAACAATGCAGGTGTTTTTTTGGATGTTTTCATGTTCTCATCCCCTAAAGATGGCTAATCTGAGATACCCTTTCACAAAACAAATAAACAACTCATTTTCCACAGGTGAATGTGTGTATGTGTATATATATATATATGTATATGTATGTAATAATATATATATATGATTATATATGTATGTATGTATGTATGTATGTATGTATGTATGTATGTATGTATGTATGTATGTATGTAACAATATATATATATATATGTATGTATGTAACAATATATATATATGTAATAATATATGTGTGTATGTAATGTATATCATATATATATACTGTACATACATCATACATTCATTCATTCATTCATTCATTCGTTATTTCCTTCTCTCTTTCATTCATTCATTCATACATACATACATACATATACATACATACATATGTGTATATATATATATGTATGTATATACATATATATATATATACATATAAATATAAATATAAATATATACATAAATATACATATATATATATATATAAATGTTTTAGAACTGGTAACGGACCCTGAAACACCTGAATGGTGTCCCTGACACCCTTCCCAAGCTGCACGGCAGCGCTATGTTGTTCTTTTCCTCCAGTTGATTGCACAACGTCCAATCGGCCACGATCGTAACGCCTTACCAAGCACCGAAGGTAAGGAACCAGGCACAAGCTATCCTCACCCTCCACTACGGGCTCACAGAGCCACCCAGCTGCAAGAGAATGATAAGCTGTAACCCTTACTCTTTGGATCTCAAGTGAAATGAAGATGATGTGCATTGCGAATCGGCAGTGTTGATTTCACATTCCCACAACTTCAAAAGATTCGCAATGAATGGATGTTACTCAGCATGCACATACTTCCCTGGATGAAATTAGGACGACTTGGCTTTTCCTCTCATCACTCCCTATATGTGGTGGCGCTTTGTCTCAGCCATTGTAACCTAGATCGAGAGTCGGATCGGGCTTTGAGGATTTCACTTTCATCATGTAAACAGTATTTTCCAAGCTGGAGGCACTCCCTGAGCATGTAATTGTCCATCACTTTGGTGAGGCTATCAGCCACTTGGGCTCCGGAAGGCACCCACCTGATCTGTATCCCATTCTGAAGGTGTTCTTTGATAAGCTTTGCTTGTAACAACGTACGAAACTCTTGGCAACTTGGTGGAGCTGTCCTACTTATCAGGTCGTAGAGGGATTTACAGTCTGTAGTTATTATTCCACTGTTAGATTTCGGTAATTTCTTGAGGAGTGTTTGAACTTGATCTGGTGGTGTTGGTGATTCGGTGTCTTCCATGGGTGGTATGGCTGCAAACGCTGGTGGCAACTGCAACAAGGTCTTATCAGCTTGTTTCCATGGCAATTTGGTGTCAAGAATCCATCCCCAGTATAGTCTGACCCAGGAAAGCATGTCAACTGCTCCTGCCAGTGCCATTGCTTCTGCGGACAATGTGCTGACAGCTACCTTCTGGATTTTCTTAGAATGCCACAACATAGGGTTGACGATACTGGTTCTGTTCTGACCTAACAGCCGATGGCACGCCATGATCACCATGCCTTGATGTGAATCCTGAACTTTCTCTGATGCGAATGATGCATCTGAGAACGCAGCAAATCTGAGATCCTCGGTCTTGATGGGTTGTATTTTGATAGTGACATTGGAATGAACTTTGGCTTCATGGAGTGTTTTATTGGCCTCAGTTAAAGTGGATACTTTGGCTTTATTGATATGTGATTGAAGGTACCCAAGTCTACTGCACAAGTCCGGTCTTGAATTCACAGCAGCGTATTGGAGCGAACCAATCAAACCTCGTAAGGACTGTCGTTCGTCATCTGTGACTGGCTCATCAGGATGCACTCTGCGGGTTCGTGGAATTGAAATTGGTTGTATGTCATTGATGTATTGTGTCTGGTTGATGTGTATTGAATTGTCAGGTCGTTGTTCAATTCTGAGTCCAGTGAAGGTGAAATTTCTTTTCTTGTGTGATCCAAATGGAAACATATCGGCTAGAGCTTGCAATCGCCTTTGAAAAAACTCTGACCCACAACACAATCCATCGTCCACATGGGCCCCAACAATGCCCTCGGTCATGCCAGACTTTGGATGTTCCAAAATGAACGCGCACGGATCAAATGGACTTGGTGTGAACCCCAGTGATTCCAGCCCACGCTTGAGTTCCATGAGCCAGAGGTAGGGTGCATCCACTCTTCCATAGGCTCCTTTCAACAGTCTGAGAACTTCATTGGGTCTCATTTTCATCTTTCCTCGAAGTTCAGCTGTGGGTTCAATGCCAAGTATTCGATCTCCTTGCTCTTGTCCCCTCAAAAAGGCCGTCTTAATATCAAAAGATTCGATATCCCATCCCTTTGAAGCAGCAAGTTGAAGAATGAGCATTCGTGACAGCTTTGACATGGTCGGACTGTCTCGAGGAATCTCATGCACTAATGGGTCTTCGTATCCTAAGACAACTAATCGGGCTTTGGGAACATGTTTCGGCTGATCGGCTTTGGCATCATCTACCGGCTTCCATGTCAAGATCCAGCGGCATCGCAAGATGTTTTCTTCCGGAATTTGGTGGCGAAGAACTTTGGCTACTGTTTCGGTTGACAACCAGCTTTCGATTTCCTTTTGTTTGGCTTGTTGAAACAACTCCTTCTCGGCTGATGACAACTGAGACATTTTCACTTCGCTACGTTGTCTCTTCGCAGCAGACACCAGAAAACTCATCTCATGAGGGTCACTCTCTTGACGCCAGCGGTCAACATCGCATTGTGAGATGTTGACTTCGAATTTCCATGCCATGTCATCGACAAGAGTAAAGCAGTCTTCATGTTCCATAAACAAGTCATCAGCTTCGGGCACTGGAACTTCTACTGGTGCATTAATGGCCTCTTCAGTCCACGGTGAGTTTTCTTGGGAATCCTTTGGTTCTGAAGGTCTCTCACTGGCATGTCTTGTGGATGCCGGTGCTGATGGTGCTGATTCAGGTTCATACTCACTATCCCCATTATCCCTGGAGTTATTCAGATTATGAAGGTTATTTGGTTGCTCTGGTGAAGGATTATTACTCGGTATGGTAACTTGATTTTCTGAATTTGAATCATTGGAATTGACCGTTGGCATGTTGTGGAATTGTGTGCCCCCATGATGTGGAACAATGGAACTTGGCTCGGCTGCATCAGTGGACCCTGGCTGTCCATGGTGCCATTCCTCTACTGCAGAGAGTGGTCTGATGTGCTCTGGTGCCGCACGGTATAGTTTGGTGCCCTTGGTGACCCAAACAACTCTGTTTGCTTCTTGTATAATTACCTGCATGGGACCCTCCCAATGGCCTTCTGCTTCTCCTCGGCGTTTCCAGAGCATCACCCAATCCCCAGGGCTATATTGTCCTCTGGTGGGACGACTACGACTGGTCAATGCACGTCGCAAGACTTGGTCATTGTCAATGGCAACAAAGGCTCGGCGTGCCCGATCACGGGCGGCAAGTTCTTCACGGAACTTGACACCTTCTGCTGTTGGGCTCAGTGCGGCATGGTGGGATGCCGTTTCTTCATCGCTGACTACTGAGCCGACCATCTTGGATCCTTTTCCAAATACCAACATCTCAGGTGGATAGCCCCGGTACTTACTCCATTGATTCTTGGTGGTGGTGGCATGTGCTAAGGCTATGGCAAGTTGGTTATAGTTGCAAATCCCTTCTTAATGGTCCATCTTATTGAGCATCATTTGTAGGATCCCTCCGTGTCTCTCTACTCTGGAATTTTGCCAGTGACCTTCTGTTGCGCATGTTTTGCCCTTGATTCCAAATCTCTGCAAAAACTGTCCAAATTCCTCAGAGTTGAATTCAGTTGCGGCATCCATGACCAAGAGCTTTGGAGCCCCCGCCCATTGAACCCATCCCTGCAACAGAGCTTGAGTTGCCTGTTGAGACGTTCGGGACGCAGAGCATATGGCAGTGTGATATAACGTACTCTGGTCAATAAAGTGGTAAAAATGAAATTGATCTCCCTTCTGATTCGTCCAGGTGATACCATCCATTGAAATCACATCACCAAACTCCCCATGCTCATGGATTGCCCCTGGTCTCGCAGCTTTGGGCATCTGCAATTCTTTGCACGTGGAACACTGTAAATCTGGGATTGCCTGGAGGATATGTTCAGGGCATTTCAACTGCCTGCAAAAATCAACCAGCTTTGGACTTCCGGGATGTCCGAGATTTCTATGAATCTTCAACAACCATGCTTGATCGCTTGAACTGAGTGCAAGAAATTTGGGCCCATGTTTATTTGAAACCAAATCTATCATGGTTCTATCCTCCCCTGTGGTCTTGATGGCACTGGATGCACTGTTCTGTGAGGAGGATTCCTCACCGGTCTGAGCTTGCAACTTCATTGGTTCAGGAAGGCTTGTAATTGTCATGTCATGTGTTGGAGTCTGAAGATTATTGGAGTGATGGTTGTGGAGGTTATGGTTATCGGTTATGTTATGGTGACTTTGTTGTTGAACTTCAGGAACATCCGCTCGGTGTCTCTTGCTGGCTTGATCATCTGGCATGTCCATTCCATGAACTCTACCGGCAGAGATTGGAGCATCGGCAGAAGAGGCATCTGGCATCGCATCAGGTATTTTGGCCTGAGCAAAAACCGTCAGGCTGACCCGAGCTGCAGTGGACTTGCGTCGAAGTCCTTTGTATGTGAGTCTTTCCCATGGCTCCCATTCTTCATCAACATAGATGCCCCCTACTCTTCGTCGGATGCAAACCATTCGACGTAGTGGTGCTTCACCTGGAAACATGGTTTTATTTGGCCCCACATATCGGTCTGTGCCTCGGCATAAAACGACATGTTTAACCGTGTGATTTGGGCACATGGCCTTCACTTGATCAACTAGTGGTCCATTCTCCATGACCATGGTGCCAACTCGGGGTGCTACGGAATCGGCGAGTTTCAGCACTGTCTGCCAATTGATGCTCTGGAAGCGTTGGGCAATGGTTGCAGCACTCATTTTCTGGCCTAACCTACGCTTCTTGGTGGGGTGTTCACTTTCCTGGTTCTCAGCACTGGCAAGTTCTCCTACAAGGGTAGGATGTGATTGGTCATGGCATATGATGCGGGCAACTTGACGTGCAAACTTTTTGGGATATGCTTCAGTGAACTCTGTGAGGGACATGCGGGTTTGGCCAACCATTGTTTGACCAGCAATCGGTTGATGCTGGTGGCTTCCGGAACAGAAACGCCGGTGCAGGCATCGATGCAAGTCATCAGAGGTGGACAGGACTTCCATTCTCTTTCGCAAGGCTTGACCGCTCACAGGATCTCTCAAGTTGCCTACTTCACACATGTCAAAACGGCATTGGTGGGAGTGACCCACAACCTCCTGCATACCCGGAACCTGTTTCATGAGTGATCCATCTGGCTGTTCCAAATCAAAATGATCTCCACGCTGAACTTGATGACGATACAACACAATTCCCAGTGCAATTTGCCAAAGGTGTTCCTGACGTGACTCAAAAATTTTGATTTGAAGGTCAATTGATTTCTGTTCGTTGTATTGATTCCACTTGCACCATGGTTTGCAAACAGGACTATACCACACATGTTTCGGACGCCTGGAAATCAGTTGTGTAAACAACTGCATTCTTCCTTGAGTTGTTTGTAGATCCCCTTGAGCTAGTCCAAACCTCTGAGCATGTCCACCGATCATCTGAGCCTGCTTTGTGAGCTCACTCTGGTCATGACACATGACTTCCAAAAGGTCGAGCCGACGCTGATGAAATCGGGGTGACTTCACAGATTGCAATTCTACGGAGAACTGTTTGACAAGCTTCTGAACCTGATTCTTGAAAGACCTATTCACTTCTCCATGAGGACTGGAAAAATTATAGTCATTATCAACATCATGAATACTGCTGTGAACCCCAAAACATTGGCTCTCTACGATCCCGGCTTGAGGGCTTTCACATGCTCGATCAGCTCGTTCAGAACTCCCTCGATGTTGCCCATGCGATTGTGAATCATCTTGTTCTCTTCCATCAGAGCTCCAACTTGGTCCTCCATCACACTCATTTTCATATTGGTGCTGATCTTCTGGCTCATGTCTTCTGCACTGTCGTCGCTCTGAAGATCTTCCCCTTTCACTGGACACCACGATGCTTCCGAAGACACTGGTTTGTTTGCCTTCTTGAAGTTCTTCACATCGTTGGGACTTGTAAGACTTGTCTCGATCTCGTGGTCCAAGCGTTTCTCCACATAGCTGATGAATTTCTGGTGGGCCACTTTGTCGCTCTTCTCGTACTGCATCACAAACCATTCCGTCCACTTGTGGTCGGAGTATGCCTCCGTGAACTTCTGGCCCAATTTGGCCTTTCCAAATTGGATTGTTTCCTTTTCCAGCTGGGGAAGGGACATCTTCTTGATTTCCTCGAGCTGGTCTGCTGTCTGATCGATCTCTGTCTTGGTTCGACGGGCCTGCAGTTTCTCGGTCAGCGACTTCGGCATGACGGGATCTGCTGTCACGGCAAGTTGAGACAGGAGCGTCTGTTGAGCTTGAACCGGGAATCTCACTGAGACTATCTTTTGATTCTTTCCGACAACGGGACATGAGTGCCTCAGAATCTCCTGCGTCATGTGGTTCATGGTGTGACATGTTCACATGACCTGGTTCTTCATGATTGACATTGGACCTGATACCTGTCGCCTGTTGACTTCCTACATGGCTGGCTTCGGCATGGTGACGGCTGTCACAAGTTTTCAAGGCATCGGACTGCAGGCATGTTGGTTCTTCAGCCATCAGACTGAACTGTGCGGAATTCTCCGGGCTCTCCCACAACTGATTGATATCCATGAGAAGTAAGTTTTTCGCTGTTCGAGTTATCTTCAGTTCTCTGTTCAGTTTCTTACTCCACAAAACATCAGTATCAGTGTCAATCACAGCCTGAATCCCTTTGAGAAAAGTGCTGGAAATCAAAAAAGGTGTTCGACCATCCACAATTGCTATCTGGAAATATTGAGATCCCAGAGGCATCAAAAGGGCTTGCCTACTGACGAGCGTTTGATGATTTCCAAATCGAAAAATCAAATGGCACGGCTTTCGCTTCACACCCTGTCGGACTTCGTCTGGCAATTGAGCAAGTAGTTCTGGTACCTGTTGGCTGCCAATTACTGTTTGTGAAGCTCCTAAGTCTACCACTCCTACGGATCCAACGGATGCGAACAGGCTGGGGCAGTGGTCCAGGCTGACCAAAGGATTGGGCTCAGAGACTTGTTGTCTCCGCACATGCAACCCGGCTAAAGCTTCGCTCACACTGGGCACTTGGCTTGTCACAGGGCTAGAACGCGGCATCTTCCTGGTGGCATGACGTGACATGAGTTGCTTCTTTCCTAGAATATGACCAAACACCTGGTGAACCTGAGAAACAAAACAATCTACCATGTGTTTTGATGCATCATGGTCCTCGATCACTGGCAAGGACACGATCTCTGGAGACACTTCCACTGCGGTCACAAACGATGTCGGCACGGTTGAGGCGGCTGACACTGATCCACCACCTTGGCCTCGTGATGGACACTCATTCTTCCAATGCCCCTTCTTGAGGCACAGTCTGCAGTATGAATTGGCGATCCGATTGGCAAGGGACGACTTCCCTTTTCCTTTCACTTTTCCTTTCTTTCCAAAACCCTTCTCGCCCTTTTTCACACTCCAGAAGCCTCGAAACCTGACCTTTTCCGACAAACGTTTTCTGGCATCTTGGTATGATGAATAGTATGCACACAGCTCAGTATCGTTCTGAACCATCTCTGATACTGCATCTTCAAACTGTAGTACTAGTGCTGCATCTTCATCATCATCGGCGGCCATCGCTTCTAAGGTGCCTTCATCTAAAGAAGCTTCCTCTGTCCAGAAGACCTCACCATCGGTCTCCCAGTTGTTCTCATTGGTGTCCTCCATGGTGAAAGCTGTATGGTCATATGTCTTGAGACCCTTGTCACGTTTGTTTCCAATCATGTCTTGGAAGAACCCTGAACCGATTATTCTCACTGCGGCTTCCACATTCTTGACATTCAATGTACCCCCCTTTTCTGCACCTGAATCTACGAGGACACGCTTCTTGTCATCGCTGCTCAAGCGGCTTCCACGAAGGAGGATATAGGCTTGGATCTCGGATAAGTCAACCTTTTTGCTAATCAATTCAGTCCAAATCACATCATTTCGAGACAGATATGAGTCGCTAGATTCATCAGACTTCTGTGATCCACGATACAGTGCCTTCTCCACTATGTCAAACTTCTTCTCCAACGGCACTGCACCCCATTTGCCGCCGACTAATTCCACGATCTTTTGAATTCCCTTGGCGTCATTGACTAGGACTTCACTCCTATGTAACTGCAATTTCTGAAAGGCTGTTCCTTTGCACCCCAGGACTAAGCGTGTTGCTAGCTCTAAGATCTTGTTGGATGGCCACGTCAGTAAAAGCAGTTCCACCTTGTTGGTCCATATCTCCACATTGTCGACCGACGGGTCGAAAGTTGGCACAAGGATTGCCAACTGGTTTGGCACCTGCCCAGCGTCGCTGGCTGCTTCACTAGCGGTCCCTGACATGTCGCCGGGCTCCGCTACCAGTTTAGAACTGGTAACGGACCCTGAAACACCTGAATGGTGTCCCTGACACCCTTCCCAAGCTGCACGGCAGCGCTATGTTGTTCTTTTCCTCCAGTTGATTGCACAACGTCCAATCGGCCACGATCGTAACGCCTTACCAAGCACCGAAGGTAAGGAACCAGGCACAAGCTATCCTCACCCTCCACTACGGGCTCACAGAGCCACCCAGCTGCAAGAGAATGATAAGCTGTAACCCTTACTCTTTGGATCTCAAGTGAAATGAAGATGATGTGCATTGCGAATCGGCAGTGTTGATTTCACAATATGTACACAAATATTTATATATATATATATGTATACATCAATATTTATATATATACATCAATATTTATATATATATATATATCCAAAAAATATTATATATATATACATACACATCAATATATATATATATATATACATATATATATACATATATATATACATATATTTATACATATATATATATGTGTGTATATATATGTATATATATATATATGTGTGTGGCCCAGTGTCTGGTGGTCTCCCCTCCCCCCAAGATGGTGATGGTCCTTATATGTATATGGGTATATACAAATTATAGAAGTATGTGTATCTATATGTATATATGTATATATGTAAGTTATATATGTATATACATATACATATACAGATACAGATACACAGACACATACACATACACATACATCCGCCGACCCCGGCCGACAGCAAGGGGGCGCGCACCAATAAATATTTGTTTTTTTGGTTTTACACATATCTCCATGTATGACTGAAAATTGACCCCCAACCCTCAAACAATCCCAAGTTTCAAGGAGCTCCTTGCAGGCGGTTCTAAGGCTTGCCCCTCCAGCAGCAGTCGTGGCAGGCCCCTCTCAGAGGTCAGCTGCTGAATAACGCGCTGCTGCAAATCCCGGAAGTGCTCGGTGTCCAACCTGCGAACTGGACAGGGACCCGAGAAATATGTAGGGAGACCACGGGTCAAAAAGTGGCGAAGTTGGTGGTTTTTTCAACGGTTTCAATGGATTTTCTGAGGCAAGAGGGACCATTTTAAGTGGTTTGCAAGTTTAAACAAGCGGTGCAAATCTGCAAAGAAAGATTGTGGTTCTATATTAGTAGAAGTAACTACATTTGATAGGTGGCTCTAGTGGTTTCAAGCTGGATATGGTGAGATCATGAATGATGGGGCGGGGGATAGCTACTGACCATGGTTCTCAGTTGGAATTACACTGTAATCCATGTGGGTGAAAATCCACTTGGAAGCTTGCAATGGCTACTATCCGTTTCCCAACTAAGATGGTCCTCCAAGTATTGATATTTCTGTATATATACCTGTATGTACATACACAGATACATACATATATATATATATACATATACATATATATATATTAATATATAAGCATGTGTGTGTGCCTTTTTGGGAAGTGCATCTGGAATCAAAAATGGTGGGATTTAGATCTTCGTCGTCTTTGTTAGTTGACAAAAAGGCAAACGAACTTGGAACCTCTACCGAAACTTCTGATATACACGCATTAGTTGAAGCATGTGGGTCCAGCCCCAAGTTTGGAGGGTGCCCGGTGCCAGTTGATGAGGGAACCCTGAGGTCCAATTCTTTCAACTTTGCACCTGGTAGATTTTCCAACTATATGGGTGGCTTTGTTGGTTTGCTTGCGGAAAAGCTCCAATTCTACGAAATTTATCATCATGTCATATCATTTCCCCATGTTTTCATGGCCCTTTTCATGGCAGCTGAGTTTTCCCCTTTCTTTCAGCCGCGGTGCATGGTGAAGGACATCTCCAGCTCTCCCGAGATGGCGCGGATCTCGATCTCAATCTCCATGGCGACAACACTGAGGCGACAAGAAATGTGCGAACTGGGCACCAACTGGGCGGTTTGTCATTGATAATCTATGGATGACGATGAGGATGAGGATGAGGAGGAGGAGGATGATGATGATGATGAATGGATTCTTGAATGGATTTTTGCATGGAATTTTAAATGGGTGTTTGAACGGATTTTTGAATGGATAATGATGAATGGATTTCTAAATGGAATTATATATATATACTAACCATCCCCCAGAAACTATGGTGGATGTAGGGATTGTTTAATACAAGTACACACATTTAAGGGGCCATTTTGAGGGATTAAGAGAGATTCTATCCTCGTCATCCGTGGCGGACAATCCTCATGAATGGCAGTGCAGAACTGTACCCTCTAGGGGTTTGGTCACTTCTCAATCAGCTTGACCCAAGAAAACGCACATCACCGGCTGACTGATAATGCGTCACTAACCTGACATGCTCAATGGTGCAAATTTCCCCTCGGCTCCTCATTTACAGGAACGAACGCAATCCGCTATGAGCTCGTTCTACTTTGTTCAGACAAGTCGAAATAAAAGCACACAGCCCAAATCACGAATTAGCCACTGAATTGTCTTTTGGCGGTCGATAGTTTTGAGCCATGGCAAAAGACATTAAAAATAAATTGCAGAAATAAATAAACAACAAACATAAACAAACAAAAAAACAAACAAGGAGTCGAAAATCAATATATATATATATAGAGTCACATAGAAAGAGAGAGACAGAGGGAGATGGAGAACTAAAAATAAAGGAATAACTGTTGCTTGGTCTCTGGGTCACCCTTGCGTTCAGCCTCCGCAGCCGCCTGGGTCGGCAAAGCCATGAACCAAACCCTCAACAACCAACCTAGAACCCCAGAACCCCAGCAAATCTTCAGTATTTCAAAACAAACCGGCTAAACCAAGTACAAAAATAAAATAATGATACCAAAACGATAAGAATAGTAATAATATGTAATAATAACCTATCATAACTTGACAATAAATCACATACACTACCAATCATTCAGAATATCATTGAAAACAACCATCATTTTTCAAACAACCATCATGCAACACAATCGCAACTGTTCAACAGACCTGGCTTGTTGGAAAATTCCCCCGCTTAAAAATTGAAACCACATGAACAACATCAAACACTTTCCCAAAAGACGTTGCAGCAGCTTACCACAGACCAGCCTCACTACGATTGGCACGCTGGCGAAAGGAGCCATCACCTGATGGAAAACTGACAACTGGTGGTGAAGAGAAAATGTGGATCTGACTACCGGGAATTGCCATGAAAACCTTGGGAAAATCTGTGAAAGTATGGAAAATGTGGGAATATTAGAGGATGTTTGATATGATTCTCATGTTTGATTTGTTTCTATAGGACTTGGTGCCCTAGAGTCTATAGAGCATATCCGATGCTGTAAAATAGATGACATAAACCTTGGATTGAGATGTTTCCACCCAGGTCTGGAAAGTTCTCGGGGATGGTTTGTCACTATTAGCTTCACCACAATAGGAGGGTCAATGTGGATCACCCACTTTTGAGAGTGTAACACAAAAAATGTTTGAAACAACCAACCAAATGATGTTCTCCTGCATGGCATGTGTCTGTGTGTGTGTGTGTGTTTACATTCACGTACAACTCTTTTGGACACATCTCGCCTTCAAACATACCACTCACCATCCTTTCGCTTGCCTCAATTCAAGCCAAGGCACTGATCAAGAATGACATGATGTTGTTCAGAAGGCCAGGCGGGCAGGTTGCAGCTGTTGGTTCCGCGACGTTTGGCTGATGGTGATGGATACATCGGATACACCGCTTGGTGGATTCCAGCCTTTTTGTTGGCTGAAGTCTGTGGAAACATTGAGAAAAATGCCCAAGTGAAAGCTGGTGATGTCCGACATGGGCTTGACGGCTTGACTTTGGGCTGAGCCAACTGACCGACATGGTGCCTGTCAGAGTTGAGAAACATGAACAAGGCTTTCACCTTTTGAATCAGTCATGCTGTGTGTGTGTGAAGGGGCGCAAGATTACGAATTGAACAAAATGGTGTGGTAATCCCAATATATAGATCACACTGCAAAGCAAAACAACAAACACTACCACAAACGACAATTTTTTTGTCCCCGTATTGTGAATGATTCTCTCGAACCTTCATCCTCTTGAAATTTCATCCTATCTGCGGACGTCCTCCAAAGCCTAGTCCAAAGTGACATATCTTTAATTTAAAGTACCAATTGTTCTAGAATACCCTCTGGCAATCTGGCATGGCAAGGGAAAAGCTGTCAAAAGTGTGGTTTTTCTCTTTCGCTTGAAATTGTGGATGTCAATTTTCCCTTTGTTTCCCAAGCAACATGTTTCCAGTTCTCGGAAGTTCTGGGAGGTTAGGTAGTGTATGACTTCGATTGTTTTTGGTTAGTCTTGAGCAAGTGAGTTGTGGGTCACGTTTGGAACCCTGCTCTTCACCTTCCCAGTTTCATGATGTCCACCTACCATCCCCATTTAAAACCCTCAGCGACTATGTTGGGGGATTCTGGTTCTGACCCCCCCTCATTTGATCTCTATGGGAAATCACGACGTAGGCTGAAGTACCCAAAATGTGGGGTGAGATGTTTTCTCAAGGCATGCGTGGAATGTGGATTTTTTGAAACATTTGACCCCCCTAAACGATCCCAGAATTGGAGTAGGAACCAGAGTTGCACCGCTCGGCGGAGTTTTTCTCAACGGTCCTCCGAGAAGCAGTTCGGCTTCTAGGCCTGGCCGGACACACCGGTGCTATCACTCATTCTCCATACGGATACGCCAAGTTGCCTGGTGGAATCTGGTGGATATGTCCTACATGATATTCGTACGGGCCACCCCCTGCTTGGAGGATCATCTCACGGGTCGTCACTGGATCATAACCATGCTTAGTTCATCCATTCATAGATGGGACAACCCACTGAATGGAGACTTACGGTCACCAGGGTTACTAACTAACCAGCTGAGTGCTTAAGAAATTAAGAAATGTGCTAAGTCCCATCTATACATGGATGAGCTAACTATGATTCTTAACCCAATAATGGGAATTTCAAAGAATAAAAGTGATAACTAAGGTTCATTGCCCTGGATATCCCATAATAACTATGGTTATATATTATAATCCCACATATATTATGGTCTGTGTATATGGTTATTATATGCTCCCATTATCACTATGGTATGATATCCCATGATGGTTATGATATCCCGTAATAACTATGGATATCCCATTATTAACTATAGTCATCCCCAATGAGATGGAAAAGTAAATCCCTACTAATTTCATGGTGATTTCCTGTTCCATCTATTTGGGGATTACTATAGGGTTATTAACTTATTAAGCACAAAAACAGGATCCCTGCGATTTTCCTCCAAGTGGCATCCCACTTAACCACCGATACCACCGACCTTGCGCCGACTCTTCCGCAGAGAGAAACCCTCGGAGGCATGCTCCAGGAGGCAAGTCCTCCAGGCTTCCAAACATGTGGTGACCATATCTATGTAGATATCTATATATAGTATGCATGTGTGTGTACCTAAATATATTGTATGTATGCATGCATGCATGCATGTATGTATGTATGTATGTATGCATGAATGTATGTAGGTAGGTAGGTAGGTAGCTGGGTAGGTAGGTAGGCATGTATGTATGTATGAAAGTATGAAAGTATGTATGTATGTATGTATGTATGTATGCATGTACGTACGTACGTACGTACGTACGTATGTGTGTATGTATGTATGTATGTATGTATGTATGTATGTATGTATGTATGTATGTATGTATGTATGTATGCATGTATGTATGTATGTATGTAGCATAGCATAGCATAGCATAGCATAGCATAGTATAGTATAGTATAGTATAGTATAGTATAGTATAGTATAGTCTAGTCTTGTATTTGTATAGTATTTGTATAGTATTAGTATAGTATTAGTATAGTATTAGTATAGTATTAGTATAGTATTAGTATAGTATTAGTATAGTATTAGTATAGTATTAGTATAGTATTAGTATAGTATATGTATAGTATATGTATAGTATATGTATAGTATGTATAGTATATGTATATTATATAGTATGTGAATACTGATAGTATGTATGTGTAAATAATATATATATATGTATATATAGACAGTATGTATATGTGTATCCATATAAATAATATATGTAGGTATGTATGTATATATATACAGTTTGTATATGTATATATGTATATGTAACATATATATATGTATATATAACATATATATATGTATATATATACATATGTCTATTATGTATATATATATTATGTATACATATATATATATTATGTATATATATATATTATGTATATATATATATATGTATATAAGAATAAGTATGTGTATATATATATATTTAATGAAACCTGCGCCAAGAAAAAAACTGAACATATCTCCTGATTCTTTTCTGAGACCCAGTCGTAAAATCAGAATTCGGTGAACAAATATGATACATACATATGCGTCCATATACATACATATATACATTATAGACCTAGATTGGGACGACTCAAAATCCCAAAAGATTCGCGGATTCCATTGCCAGCTCCTCATCTGTTCCGCGATAGCATGACAGCCTGCGGCGCAGCTACAGAGGGATCGGGTGGAAAAGCAAATATACCCTCCGGCAATTTAACAGATAGCAATTTGAAAATGGCCCGGTTAGAAGTTAGATCCATTTAATTTAGTTCGGTCGTTTAGGTATTAAACATTGTGATTTTCCATAGCTATGGTAAATTACTAGAGGGTATAAGTGGTTCCTAAGACCATTCAATTTCGGGGGTGTTCCTAGATCATTTTGAGGCATACCAGACCACTTCATGTATGTCTCGCCCATTTGTGTCCATTTACGCAGGGAAGTGTCTAATTGTCTCACAAATTTACGCCTTTTTCGCTCTACATTGGCTTTGGGGGGTTCAAACTGACCCCCAAAAAAATAACCAAAGTCGTAATTTTCAGACATATGTTCAGTTCCTCATTAATTTTCACACATATTCATATTCATATATATATATATATTTATATAGCTATCTATCTCTTCATATATTCGTGTATATATATATATAGAATGTCATGCCAAATCCTCCCCAGTCACCGCTAGGTCACCATGCCTTGCAGCGCCATCTCGTAGAGCTGTGTGAAGGCGCTGCCCTCCGGCACCTTCGACTCCACCTGGGCACATATTGGAGGAGGAATGTAGCTGATACATGCATACATACAATACAATACATTATCATATATCATATATCATACATCATACATCATATATCAGATCATATATCATATATCATATATCATATATCATATATATATATACACATTCTATCTGTATCTATAATGTGTTGATAGCAGTGTGTATATGTGTATATATCTACATGTATAACCTATTATATAACGTCATATAATTTTTACAGTAACTATATAAGTATATTGTTACTTAAAAGATATCATATCATGGACATATGTACTGTACACGTTTTAATCTTCTGCAAAAAAAAACAAATAAGGTCCTGCCCCGCCTCCAATAAGCTCACTCGCTTGGCCCCCGTGAGAGACGCCAGGAGGATCTCAGCCCCACCGGCCTGTTCCTCCTGTGCCGACATGGGGGAGAGAAAACCAACAGATTCCTGGCATTGGGGGAAAGCTGGGGAAATATCATGAGAAATCATATTTTAAAAAATGGAGCAGGGGTTATTAAATGTTGTTTGTATTGTTAGTTCTTCTTGATGTGACACTATGATGAATGTCGAAGGGCAAGCCTGCCCTGAATATAATTTGGCCGGATGGATCGGTAGTGCTGCATACTCGAAGGTCCGGCGAAACCAGACCTAACCTTCTGGTTCTTGCACCCAGCTGGTGGGGTGAAGTGGATTTGCCAGGCTAGTTGGCATGTTTGTCTTAGGCGAAAAGGAGTACTTGGAAGTGAGGCACGATAGATTCACTAGAAAATGTTTCCCAGTTGTTGGTTTAAGTGAGTTTGTGACATGTACTTTAAGTGGCTCTCTGAATAGTCTGCCAGCCTACAAAATGGACAAGTGCATCTTTCAAGTTGACCCCACATGCTTGTGGACACGTCTGGCGCTCCTCGCGACTCAAGTCCATGGCTGGTTTCCGTCCCAACCTGGATGGAGTTGGCTGGCACACGGCAGTCCATCCAAGTGAAAAAGAAGATTCTTCTGTCTTCCCCATGAAACTGCCCAAACCACATACATGACTTCCATCGCCTTCCAGTGCTCCCAACATCTCCTGACAAATGGGGGTGTCTCAAAAATGGTCCCACTCCATCCATCTTCGTAAAACCTCTGCAAAATCCCTGTTTTGTTCCCCATTCAAAAGGCCACATCCGCCAGGTGGCATGCCGGCAGTGCATGCCACCACCAGATCTCTCATGGGAATTCCAGCATCGGCCAACGCCAACGTGGCCTGGGCGAGGTTAGAAACTCGTTGTACAGAGTGTGAACTCCGGGGGTTTTCCTGGTGTCCATGTTTGGCCTATGACTCGCATGACAACTTTGGGTCCTGAATCTTTTTAAGACACCGCCTTACTAAACCATGCCATTTTTCCCCCAGACAGTGTGTCGCGGTCTCGGGGTCCATCTGGGGCGCGGCATTTTTCTCTAAATGCTCGCGGTGTTTTCCCTGTGCATTCTCGCGTAAAATGGCTCGTGACATGTCCATGTGCATTTCGACTGCACAGGCTTGCGCAAAGTGTGGGTCGCGGTCTCGGGATCCATCTGGGGCGCGGCATTTCCCTAAGAATTCTTGCGTAAAATGCTTCTTGGGATCTTGAAGAAGTCCTTGTGAGAAGATCTTGTGGAGATCCAGATGAAATCAGATGAAATCCTCTAAGAAGTCCTTGCGTGATCTTGTACAGCTCCTTGGAAGAAGTTTTAGCAGAGATCCTGACGAAATCCTCTCGGAGGTCCTTGCATGATCCTGTACAGGTCCTTGTGAGGAAATCTGGCAGAAACCTTGGTGAAATCCTCTAAGAGGTCCTTGCATGAGGTCCTTGTGAGAAGATCTTGTGGGCATCCTGGTGAATTCCTTTCAGAGGTCCTTGCATGATCTTGCACAGGTCCGTGCAAGAAGATCTTGTGGAAACCCAAGTGTGATCCTGGTCAGTAGACATAGTGTTGCTCCTGTGACAAAAGAAGTTCCTACTGCTGCAGTTACGATAATGTCTAACTTGATCTGCTGTATCCGTAGCTACTGCTGCTTGTATCTTCTACATTGACACCCTATCCCCCACACTGTTTGGGGTCTCTCGCCGGTGTACTGTAACTCTTTTTTGAAATCTCTTGCGCGTTGAACAGTCTCAGAAACACAGAAAGTGGAAACTGGGAAGCTAAGCTGTTTGATGGTTCCCCACAGTCTGAACTTGACAGAAGTCGGCCCATCTGCCTGTCTGGAAAGTCCCCCAAAACCACGAATCGAAGTGTTCTCCCATCCAGAAAACCAATCACTCGGCTTCCAAAAAGATAGGACTTACAGCAAGAAACTGGAAAACACACCCCTTCATGACCACTAATCACACGTGTTTACCATTAGTCAAAATATCAGCGCAAACATGTGAGGAACCTTGACACTTCCTCACGTGTTCATGCATGAAACTCATTGCCACAACTGTGGCTCCCTGGCCGCGTTGATGGCCGCTGCCACTGGGCTGCCCTCTGCCTGGCACCATCCAGAAAATTGGTGAAATTGAGCATATATACACATATACATATACATATACATATACATATACATATACATATACATACACATATACATATACATACACATATACATATACATATGTATATATATATACACACACATACATACATACATACATACATACACATTCCGTACTTGACCCACACGAGGGCAGCAACCCTCACCTGAAGGATCTGAACAAAGAGCCGAATCTGCGAGCGGGGATACCTGGCTTGACGACATTTTTTTTTAGCCCTTGCATCTACAGCATCATCTGTCTTGCCATTCTTACTTGAGTTCACACATGGTGAAAACGCGGTTTCTTAAAATGGGGGATCTCCAAGTCACCATGGCTTTCAATGCTACAATGGTCGTCCATGACTTGGATGATTTGGGGTTCCCCTATTTAGGAAATGTTAGGAAACCCCATGTAAATGCTGTGAAAGGGCTCACATAACTTGTGCTCGGGATCATTTCACCACAGGGAGACGGCTGTGGAACAAAAGTGTCCCCCCTTTCAACCATCCTGTTGATGATCATCCCCACCAGCAGGGCCGTGAACAATGCCCTCAATCCCATCCTCTCCGAGCCCAAAGAAAGAACAACTCCGACTCCCACAACAACCCCAGGCGCTCGTTTCGGGGGGGATATGTATACCAGTAGTACCGCACAAGGCGGTGGCGGGGAAACCTATAGGAGAGCTTGGTTGTTGTGACTCACGGATGGCGGAGCCAACCCATTGATGGACCGAAAGGTGGTTGAGTCTACGTATCTGTCTATCTACCCATCTACCTGTCTATCACATCTATCTATCTATCTACCTACCTACCTATCTATGTATCTATCTATCTAATCTAATCTAATCTAGTCTAGTCTAGTCTAATCTAATCTCATCTCATCTCATCTAATATAATCTAATCTATCTATCTACCTCTCTCTCTCTCTCCCTCTATCTATCTATCTATCTATCGATCGATCGATCCATCCATCCATCCATCCATCTATCTATCTATCTATTCATCCATCCATCCATCCATCCATCCATCTATATATATATATATACATTTATTTCTTAATTATCTGCGTGCCTATCTTCCGATCTATCTTCTTATCTACCTATCTACCCATCTACTTATCTATCCATCCATTCATCCATCCATCCATCTAATCTATCTATCTGACCATCTGTTTACCTATCTATCTGTCTCAAAGCTTTGGAAAGTTGAGTGCAGAGCCGACGGCCTCATACCAATGCGTTTTGCGATTTTTCCAGTCCATGTGTCTACAGTATTGCGCCTGCCACGAAAAAGTGAGGCCAAGCCATACGAAGTGCTGCACCTGTCACGCAAAAACATCTTAGCACACCTGAAGATCTGATGCTCCAAAATGCAACCTGCTGAGGAAATCAGCGCTCTGACCTCCTAACATCTCTGCTGACCATGTCTCCTGTACTGGGCCTGCCACGCAACATGCATCTTTGCAGATCCTCTTCAAATGTCCCACGCCTGCCAACGCTTTTGAAACTGCCACAAAACCCTCACGGTTTGCTCACTTTTAGCAGGGTGCAGAATCCCTTGCGCCTGCCACACAAAACGACGCTTCAACGTCCAAAGTGGCGCGAACATATGGTGCTTTTAGCATTTCACTTCCAAATGCACTTCGCGCCACAACGGCGTGCAATTCTTCAACATCTCAACTTCCAAAAGTGCTACGAGCATGGTGTGCCTTGCACATGTTCACTTCAAAATGTGCTTCGCGCCACAACACCGTGCACGTTTTCAACATCTCAACTTCAAAAAGTGCTCCGAACCTGTCAGTTTTTAACACTTTTGACTTCGAAGTGTGCTTCGCGCCACAACAGGGTGCACGTTTTCATCATCTCAACTTCCAAATGTGTTCCAAGCATGGTGTGTTTTGTACATGTTCACTTCAAAATGTGCTTCGCGCCACAACGGCGTGCACTTTTTCATCATCTCAACTTCCAAGAGTGCTCCGAACATGTGTTGCTTTGTGCATTTTGACTTGGACACGGACACGTGCTTCGCGCCACAACGGCGTGCACTTTTTCATCATCTCAACTTCCAAAAGTGCTCCGAACATGTGTTGCTTTGTGCATTTTGACTTGGACATGTGCTTCGCGCCACAACGGCGTGCAATTTTTCATCTCTCATCTCCCCAATTGGCTCCGCACCCGCCGCTTTAGCGAGCCTACTTTTCGACCCTCCGCGGCCACAAACCATTGGAGAAACACGGTGTTTCGCGACTTTCCTACCTTTTTGCGCACCTGGATCTTCTTTCTTCTGACTCTTTCTCTTCTCTGATTTTCTTTCTTCTTCTCTTCTCTTCTCTTCTCTGATTCTTCCCACCTCTGCTTTTCATCTGTCCATATTGTCGGAAGTTTGACTTCTAAACTTCCTTCGATAAGCGGAAGGAAAAAAATTGCCAATCCCCCATTGAGTTCGGGGATGTCCATGTTTGATGACACCTTTCGGGTAATTGCCAAGGTGCTGCTCCAGCAGAATGGCGCTCTCAAAGGTTTGTTGCAGCCACATGGACCTTTCCTGCGACCTGGGCTGCTTGGGAACGCACAACCGAACAAAGGGCAGGAATAGGATTGGGGAGGTTTCAAGATTAGGCAATGGAAAAGAATCGTGTAATTAGTAGTAATTAGTGTGTAGTAGATCTCTGCAAATGATCGGCAAGCACTTTTTCTATATTGCGCACTTCTTTCTATATTGCAAGTTCTTTCTATGTGATTTCAAGTTTCGTGACATGACACAGCAAAAGCTCCTCTCAGATCTCTCAGTCCATTCCGTTATTACTCTAATGTTGGCAAATTGTGCAAACAAATCGCGTGACCTAGCAGCTACATCCAACACCATCCAAAACCAATCAACCTCAAAACACGCATCAAGCACTAGAATCTATATTTCACATGATTTTACGAATAAACCCATACATACTATAGCAGGTGTACCATCCATAACCTTCGTAACCTTGCATCCTTTGGTGCTGACACTCCTTCATCCCTCAGGCTCCCAGACTGTCGATCCCCCTTTCGGCCAAAGTTTCTCGCCACCGTCGCAAAGGTGGCAGTGGACCTCGGTCCAGAAGGATCCTGCCGCCATTGTGATGGTCATCCCATCACTGTCACCCCTGTCAGCACTGTCGTCATCATCACCATCAAATCCAAGGCGCAGTGTGCAGGACAGCGTCGCTCGGTCATGTAGACTTTGGGACCTTTGCTTCGCCTCGACCAGGGGCAAAGACCCATGCGGAGAGCGAAGGGGTCCACAGAAAGCTGGTCCTGTTATGTCGTCTTTAGGATCTTAATTCATCCAATTTTAGGTCCATAGTTTGGACACATAGCCATATTTTGAGACATCCTATCGCGGACCTGAAAGCACGCCCCCTTTCTAAAATCCCATGGATCGAAATCTTCGCCATCACAATTGCCGAGGATCCCCACCTCCATGGGACCATAAACATAGGCCACTGCCTCAGTGGATTCTCCCAAAATGAAAAGTTCTTCCACCTAAAAAATCTTCCACATGCAACCCTCAGTTGTGAAAGTTGCAAGTTCCAGTAGGAAATCAAATCCAAAATCCACAAAGTCTCCAGGTTCCAGCAACTCATCCAAGGTACTTTGGTACTCCCTAGCTCGAAGACAGCATAGCCATCGGCTTCTCTACCATGGCCTGGGGGGGTTGGCTGATTTTTTTGCGGAGAAAAACAACAAGTTTTATGGTTGATGACAATTTTCCCAATGACAAAATCGCCTTTGGCAATATACTAAGTCTACTTCGATATATATGATACCGGGTTCTTCAAAAAAAAACAGCCATCCAATTTGAACTCGAGTGAGGACAGTTAGACACCCCTGGTCCCCCAATTTCGATGTTGTGTGAAAGCAGCGCTTGGCGGAGCCTTCAAACAAAACAGCCAGACTGGCTCCGCCCATTGAGAAGTGATGATTAGCAACGTTGATATAGGGGACCCGGGGGCTTCCGGTGCAGGCTGAAACTTTTTGGGTGATGGCTGTTTTTTTTGAAGAACCCGGTATGATTGTTATCATTGGAGGCACAGTGGAAGATAAGTGTACAGTGCTCCCCTTTTTAGACAAGCACGCCGCCCCCAGCCTCCCACGCAGCATTGAATGCCCCTGGGCTCGTTCACACGCCGACCATCAGCGCGAAAGCCTGGTATTCACCATCCCCAAATAGCAGGTTGGCATCGGGTCCCATTAATCCTGTAGATTTGGTATATATCCCCATTGCATTTACCCTCTGGTAAACTAACATAACTATTGAAAATGGCCATTTATAGTTGATTTGCCCACTAAAAATGGTGATTTTCAATAGCTATGTTAAATTACCAGAGGGTAGCCACATTATATGGATTGGAAAACATGTTGGCATCGTCTCAGCTAGTGGTTCCCATGGTTGACCAGTAGGGACCGGCCCATGATGGCCCATGGTTTCAAGGCGACCCAGGGCACCTTCAGGTGTGATGGCTTCCATGGCCATTGCGAAGGCTTCAAGACTAGATCTCTAAACGCTGCATAACTCTGCCTGATGAAAGTTGATGTTGTTCCTAAAAAGTCCTTTGGCCCATGGGTGGGACAAAGGCAACCATTCCAGAAATTCTGACTTTCAGAAAAGTATCCAACCCACAAATGTCCTCCGATATGCACTCCGGTGCAGTGCGCACTTTGGGGTTCCATGGTACTTTTTTGGGTTTGATGGCAGCCTCTTGACATAAACAACAGTAACAACAGGATCCTGGAAACATCAAAATAGCGGTTTCAAGACATTAACACTTGCAGCTCAGACTTACTTGACTTGGGTACATCATGGTACATCATGGTACATCTTTAGTACTTGTACGAACATGTTTGGGTTGTTGGATCATGTTGCATGATCTCGATCCGCAGTTCCAGTTGTTTCCATTTGGGTCCAAACAACGCTGCGCCAGTCAACCAACAGGACCTGCCCCAGCTGCCACCTGTAAAATCTGGTGACCCGCCCATCTGCGGTCCACTGAACCTTAGACAATTTGACCCATAGCGGGCACCATGCCACCATGCACCAGAAACGCTGCCTTTTCTTTTTCTGGTCGACTAATCAAATGACGACTAATCAAATGATCGGCGACCAGCTGCAACCTTCGCTTGGGGCGGAGTCATCAACTGATCTTTGGTAGATATTGAGAATGGAGACATGACCGCCACTTGAATTTTGCCTGTTTGTCAGATGTTCCTAGTCCCAAAAGTTGCTGAAAAGTTGCTGAAAAGATGCTGAAGCCTTTAAATCCCCCACTTCATAGTCTGTGGTAGGAGTAGGAAATCCGGGCTTGGGGGAATAATTGCAAGGAACTCTGGAATCACATCGTGGTTTTCCTGTCGTTTCTCCGTTGAACACGCCCACGCTTCCAAGCCCAAGCAAAGTCCAGAGGCGTGAGCCATCTTCGAACACCCGAGTCAATGTGAGAAAAGTCCTTTGTTTCGGGTACTGAAAAAAATAAACTGCTAGTTGAAGCATTACCTGTATTTTCGGCAATGAATGTTCCCTTATTTCTTCTGGTGGGGCACCGGTGCTTTACCAGTGAGTGCTCACGTGGAAAAAAATAAGTTTCGAGCAGTGGCAGCAAGTTCTCGAATCAATGAGCAGCTCAATTGTGCAGATATGTGCAGATTGACAGATTGGTGGGTATGGCCCAAAAGTCTTCGATTCTCAAAGCAGCTGTTCTAGAAGCCAAAAGTGACAATTGTGGCACCGCTACACTGGACATGTCCCACATCCCAAAGATTGCTCACTCATCACCTTCAACACTAGTTCATTTTTCGGGCTCCCAACACCCCAAATAAAATGTTGGCAACTAAGAAGGCAAAACAAGCCAATTCCCTCTGCTGTGGCAATGATTTACTACATCCGGATTCGAGAACTGCGCACAGTTTTCGCAGCGCTCTCGCCAAATGTGAAGCGCAGGGATAAACACTGGGGCACGGCAACCCTAAAATGTTGCCAGAAACTATGACTATCTTCAACATGTCAGGTGAGCTATTCACAGTATTTGATCTACAATGGCAAGCTGCACCACTGTTCAGATATGTCCTCTGGCCATGTGATTTTTGACATCACCACATGGGGAAGGAGATAAGTCCGTCTTCCCGACTGATCAATACATCATCCAGAAATGCTTCATCGATTCTCCTCCTACAGTGTTTCTGATAATCGCCCAAAATATCCCATGGTTTAATCATCACCCAGAATTCGAAATTGCAATTTTGCAATATACGGGTATACCATGGTATACCCAATTTTTGATCAAGCCCTATGTGGTGCCATGATTGCGAGGTCATACCCACCCTTTTCCTGTGGATGAATCCCCATGTTTCATGCGCAGTTTAGTCTTAGCAACTGACTGATTGAGTTCAAAATCAAAACCAAGAACCATGGCTTTTTCCACCTTTTTCCCAGAAAATATGGGGGGGGGTCCGGGTTTTCCTGTTAAACCTTTGACCCAACCCATACCAATTCTACGATTACCAACTGGGTCCCCCCATGTCTGCAACTGATGGGCTGCCGATGGCCCCAACCGCCTCAGCCGACCCACAGGCCGCCGTGGCCCGTTTCACGGAGTTTCTTCCAGTAGCCGTGGGTCTCCTCGATGACCTCCGAGACGGGTAAGGTTAGATTGGATTTTTCATCTACGTATGTATCTACGTATGTATCTATGGGGTGTTGGAGTTTATACATGAAAATGGATGTGTAGATATGTGTCGTGTATAGAGTACGTGTGTACATGGAGATGTATTGTGTATGGTTCGTCTTTGTTTAAATTCGAAACGGCCATTCTTTGCAAAATACAATGTTACTCTCGAAACTGTTGGAAACTCTAACTTTATCTTCGGCAGAACCTATGTGGGGTAACAATGTCCTTGATGAAGATAGGACTCGACTCATTCCCTGCTTGCCGGTTTATCATATATTACTTCGTGATAGTGATAGCCAACAGCCCTTGCAGACCACCGCCTAAAGTTAAAGGGAGATGAGCTATCCACATGGGTATTAGGACAAGCCTTGCCTATTGGGCTTGCAAGTGGAAAGCCTACTGGGCCATCCACTTCAAAATGAACTTTCACAATTGCTCTGTCCTTCTGGGAAGAAATCTCCCTATAATCCTAAAATGTCCTAAAGGTTTTCAATGACTGGAATGATGCATCTGTAATATCATAGAAAGAGAGAGAGAGAGAGATGTGTGTGTGTGTGTGCATGTGTCTCTATTTATTTATGTATTTATCTGTCTACGATAGTTAATGGTGTCTGGCTTTTAAAAAAAATATTGTGAATTAAACGGAAAATATGCCAGATATAGAAGCAAGACACGAACTGCCTTTGCGATCACTTCCAAGGACCATTAGATTCCATTAGATGGACAAACTCTCGTGTATATGATATACATGGGCGGCCCTATGTGAACTGAATCTGACGGTTCTATTTTTGAGGGGGGCTTGTTTGGTATTGTTGTATGATAACAACAGCCTTTCCCATCCACAGACCATCCATCACAAGGCTCTGAGTTTGGCATCCCAAAGCCTCAATAGCTCCGGTGGTGTCCACCGGCTGCTCATCAAAGCCGAAACTGTTCAACGGCTTTCCATCGGGTGACTTGTACCTGGTGAACCCAAACTACAACACGACCCTGCATGGATACCCAGACCCAAAATGGAAAATGCCATCTGCACCTGCTGGATTATGAATTCACATTTGCAAGCCGGCAGTACTTTCTTGGAAATGAAGTGGCCAAAAATTAGGGTTCGGGAGAGATCTCAAGGCAAACGCACTCAAACGCTGCCTTCTGCGGATCCCTTGCACAATACCATGGAGTAGATCCGGGACGGTCATCAGCCACATCCACAAGCCAAAAGGATCTTGTTGACCAATCAGGTTCAAGGTGGTGCCCCATGGCCAAGTTGGTTTATACATAGCTGGGATTTATGGTAGATATACCTATGGTATCCTATAGTTAACATGAATTGACGGGGTTTATAAAGCAACTTCGAACTGGGCAGCACCATGAAAAACATGTCACCAGCAATGGCATGAAAGGGCGCACCACCGAAACCACTCCCGGATGCCAGAGACGTACCCCGGCAGCTTCGACTCCACGTCATTCACGCTGGACCTGTGGCACCGGGCCCCCATGACTTTCATGGGATAAAAAATGGCCACGGGATGCCATGGGAGATTCAAGCAATTCCAGGCACTTGGAATCCTTGGAACTGTGAAAATTGTTCCCTCCAAATCTGGATTTAGTAATTTCTGGTTGGGACATGTTGGGACAAGGGAAGTTGGAGGCTTGACAACCAGGGTCTTGTCCAAGGCACAGCTGGGATGCCATGGGGTCATCTGTTGAGATTGCCAGAATCTTCCAGTCCTGGATGGTGGCCCTGCTCCCAGTTGTACCTGGTTTCCTCTTAAGCATGAGACCTGAAAACCGCATGAGGGGGGGAAGACCTGTCTTTTCCATGTTACCCCCAACTCAGAGCAGGGTCTATGTTTTCTATCTGATTGTCTGATTATGAAGTATTCCAGAACCCAATTATCACTAGCTGCGGGGGATGTGGATTCAAAAGAATTGCTTTGGCTCGGTTTGGAAATTTAGCACCCAGCCTTCTGAAATTCAACATGTACAAGAATATGCATCAATCAAAAGTCCCCTCGTTTAGTTCCATGATTTTCCCAGCTATGAACCTCCATTTATTTAGGCCACGGGAAATTCCCAGCAGCCAGTCATGGAGCTGATAACACCATTTCGGGTAATATTAGTAAAGCAATCATTTTTACCACCCACCCATTTATGGCAAAATTGTGGTGTTTTACTATTTACTCACATTACACAAATTGGGGTTCTCAATCAGGCAGTGAAGAGTGTCCCTTACCCATCGAGGCGATCAAAGAAAACAAAACAACGCTCCAGTTCACCATCGTCGATCATGGCCAGCGCACCTAGCACCTGCGGACGGTGCGTAACGGACCCTAGAAGTGGCATGGCAACGGAAAATTACCTGTGTCTGGGATTGGTGATTTGTTGATTAAATGATTTAAGATATGGAATTAAACTAAACTATATAACAGAAGTCCATAGTGACAGCGGCAAGACAAGAGCTGTATGACCGAAGAGATTTGATGGATGTCGCCTTTTTCAACTTGCAAGGCCGCAAATCCCGCAAATCTATGGGTCCAGCTGGGTTTGCCTGTTTGAATAGGCTATATACCTTTATTGGGTTTGGGTCGTCATTTTCCCAACATTTTCCCAGGATCAATCCGGCTGCACCTTGACCGTAGCAATTTCACCTTGTTCATGTGCCCGGGAGCCAATTTCCACCTGTCCAGGTAAGGATCAAACTGCAACCCGTGCCTGATGGTGAAGGCAAACACAAACTGTTTTGTGATGTTAAAGAATGGCTCAAAAAACTTTAACATCCGAAAAATTGAAAGCGATTCAAATGATGGAAAGAATGGAAAACCTTCTAGCAACAAAGAAAACATAGCAATGGAAACTAAACCAATTGATTAGACTCCAGAACGATTCTAATTCTTTTCTGTATAGTATAATTTTAATGTTAATGTTTTGCTGGGCGGGTACAATAGCTCTCTAGATATATAGCGATCCATGGGCCGAGGCACCACATCCACAGGGTCGTTGTCGCCCTTGACCTTCAGCTCTGGGTGTTCTATCTCTGGATCCTGGCAGCGAACTTCACAACGCCCCCCGGCCCTTTGTGTCGACGTGATATCCTAAAATCATCAGATCCAGAATTCAGCGTTCATGTTGAAAACCTAGGCTTTGGTATATGGGATGCTTTGGCGTCCATGTTTTTTTCTGTCATGATTTGTGCATATCCCTGAAGCACCTGAAGACGGCTGGTGTCATGATTCCCTGTGTGATGTCCAAGTGAGATAGCCTAAACAACATACTGAATGCAGAAGCAGCAATAATTGTAGAAACGTGGGAATATAATGGTCAACAAGGGGGACGGAATAGAAATCAAGGATGGGACTAATTTAAGGGAGATCTTGCAGGAAACCATGGGTGTTGTAACCAGCAAATAGTACTCAAACATGCGTGGTGTCCTGCATTTGCTCCCTTAATTACGGATTCGAATCATGGGGACTCCTTTCGACACAAATTACCAACTAGAAATGGGGATAAGGTGGGCTTTACATGGCTTTACAATGGGAATATCATATGCGTATACCAAGCACGAACATGGTATATCCAACCAAGAAAATTGCAGATTCAATGTATTTATATATGTTTCGGATTATTTGGATGTAAACGTCAGAAAAGTTGTGACCAGCACTACTTGAAAAAAAGTCAACAGGTTGGGGAAGGCGTGGTGTTTAGCAACAAAATGGACGGATCAAACAACAACAGTGGGTGTTTCAACCGATTTTAGTTTGGTGTGGTTGACTTACCTACTATATACGGAAAAATGAAAAACAAAGAAAGCAAAAACAGGGAAAAAACTCTTTCACAGAAAGACAAAGATGAAGAGGGAGAAGAAGAAAATGATGACAATGATGATGATGATGCTGATGATGAGGATGAGGATGACGATGACGATGACTATGTTTATGATGATGACCATGATTATGTTTATGATTAGGATGATTAATATTATGACTAATTATGACTCTGATTATGATTACAAATTTGATGAAAACAAAACTATCACTCACCCACTGACCAAGCAGTAAAGTGACATGAATAAACATGGTACCGGCGCCAATAGCGACCCTGGGAAATTTGCAAATGGCTTCATCAGTCATCTTTCAAGAATATTGCGTTTTGCACCATTTCCACAAGGACCCACCCATGCCCAACAGCAGGATTCATTGGTATTTACAGGAAGGCGATGCTTTTTTTACCATTGGAATTCTGCATTTCAAAGGTTTTTCTTTCAAATAATGTGATTCGAGCTCGCTTCCATGCCAAATTTCCTTTTTTTCTCATCTTCAGCGGCATTTGTTGGCCATCTTGGCCAGGTCTTTCATCAGAGTTTCTCAAGAGCGTGTCAGAACTTCCAACAACATGTTACAAGCGTAGCATCAAAAGCGTGTCAGAAGTTCCAAACACAAAAGAAAGATAAAGAAAGTATGAAACCAAAAAAAAAACACGCACGCGAGAAGAACGTTATCCCCAAACCCCCCGCAAACCCACCCCCAATGTGCCTCCTTGTACATGTGTGGAATGCTAGTGAGCGTTATCACAATCAAGTGGGAAATATAAAATTGGCGTTTTACTATGGGGTCGCTAACAGCGCCGCTAGCATAAACATATCATGCGTCACTGCTGGTGCCACTCGCCTCCCAGGTCTGCGGCAAGTAGCCATAGTTCCAATAGATGGGACCTGTACATTTGAAAATGCTGAGGTACCAGGGCTTAGTATCTAAAAATGGGGGGAAAACCCGCCAAAACTGATGGTTGATCATTTAGCCTATTCAAATATAAAAGCTGGGCTATACTCCGTTTTTGGACCCCACTTCAAGGCTGGAAGGATCGAAATCCTGGCTTTTGGCCCCCCAACAAAAATATAGATAATATAGTTTCAGGATCTACTTTTATATACCGATTCTCGGAGAAAGAAATGCGTCCAATTTCGTTGGTTTTCCCTCTCAATCTACTGCATCTCGCAACAAAGCTCAGCTGAAGACCATGATACTCTCGCAGCTTTCCCTTCCTCGGATCTGGATGCTGTCACAGGCTGGAAGGTTCCAAAGGCTGGTATCAGCACGATTGGAGCAACAGGTAACAGATTGACAGGTTGATCATGGTTGATCCATATTTTACTGGTGGGAAAGCAAGCATTTTCCTTGCAGCAAGAGCCAAGGTTTGGAAAAGAAAAGTCGAGGATTTTGAGGCATGTAAAAAACGGCGATTTATGTTATCAAACAGAGTTTGTTTCAAACATCACCTTTCTGGGGCCTCAACTCCCGTTCCACCGCGAAAAAGTGGCGCAGTGAAATATGGAGTTGTCTAAGAAAAGGCACCCAAACAAAAACATGGTTTATCAATGTGTATCATCATTTTCCATCATTTTCCCATGAACAAAATGACCATAAAATTGGACATCACTTATTCTGTGATAGGATTCTGTCACCTTGGAGCACCCAAACCTCGCTTCTGTGAAGCTGAGCATCTTTGTGTCTTGGGCGATGGGGTTCAATGACTCCTCAGCTGAAACTCCACTGTTGGGATCTATCCGAATTAGGGCTTCAACATGGTTCAACCCCAACCATGCTTTCTCCCAACCATGCCCGAAGAGGCCTCAGATATGCCATTCCTTGGTGGAGATCGATCCCGAATCACCCGCGGAGGCCTTCGTGGCGATTTCCATCTTTGGCTTCGTGTTCTTCGGGATCTCGGTCACCATGAAATATTCGCCCTCCACCTGCGGAAGTCTTGCCACGGATTTTGGGACATCCCCCTTGCTAAGCCAATCTCAAAAAAAAAACATTTGAAATTTTAAAACATCAAGAGCCCCCAAGCCGCAGGTTTTTTTCTTTCACAAACAAAAAAAACTGTGGTTTTGGGTGGAAAAAAGTGCCCAACAAAGTCGACCATCCCTCCTCAGAGGCCAAAGGCAAATCGTGCCATGGGGAGATCTCTTTGTCGTTTGCCAGGAAGAAGAGACGGTAGTTGTTCGTACCCTCCTGTCGCTGGGAAAAATACGGCTGCAACAAGGAGATGTTGACCAATAGTAGAGATGTTGACCTACAAAAAGTCGTGGATTTTGACTATGACTAAGGGATGTCACAAACATCTGCAGCTTACACACTAAAACTGGGAACTACATGAGTAGTGTTCAAAACTCTCTGTGATTCCTTTGCACCTGCTGAATAGGAATTCCCAGAATGGATTGTGATATATAATCCCCAATATATTAGAATAGACTTGGATAGTATAACTCCATATAATCATCAATCAGCAGGGGTTTTGAAAACTGCTTACATGTTTGGGTTCCTCTCTCGGAACAAAATTGCAGATACCCCAACCTACATGGGAATGAGTCAAAACCCTTATACCTTTTAAATTTTGGTTCACATCCCAAAAACGAAGAGAATGGTTCTGTTGGGATGTGAATGACAGCCCAATTTGGGGCTTATTTAGTCAATTTAGTCTTGACCCACACACGACCGTTGGTTTCTGATCCCCATCCCATTGGTAGCCCTGGTACCGGATTGGGCCCCTGCCATCGCTGCCTCGCCCCGCACTTCCGTGGTGACTTCGGACACCGAAATGCCAGTGCTCTGCCGGGCGGTGAGCCTGTGCTGGTTAGTGATTCTAGGGGATTCTAGGGGACAAGGCCAAGAAGAAACATGAAAAAAACACCAAACATGGAATGACTTGGAAACAATGGCTATGCGATGGCAAAAAGATGGAATAAGTAATAAGTTGAATGCAAACAATGATATTCCACAGGGACCAACTCTCTGGCCAACTGCCAACACCGGACATCACATGAACTCAGCACAAACTGAGAAGCCAAAGCTTTTGTTTTGAAGAGGGAAATCATATTTCAAAACGAACTCCACTTCTGTCAGGGTAAATTGAGCCCCCTGCGGATCCTACTCTCCCAAAACAGTTCCTTTTGACAAAGAAACATGAAGAAATAATTCATTAAGGTGGAACACAGGTGGAGCAAGCGGTCTCTATGTAACCCCTGCTTCGCATAGTCTCAAAAGAAACATGAGCACACTGAAATTGTGGGAATGCCCTGGAATCAATCAGCTTCCCGTTGAAGCAACATGTCTTGGATATGTTATTTGAATATATTATTTGGATATTCTATATATATATTCATTACTATTATATATATATATATACATTATACATATGTATATTATATATATATACATTATTTGGATATACTTGGGATCCGTTTTCATACCATTTCTGACCATTTACAGCATCCCATTTCATCACGCCATCACGCCTTCGTAGTGGCGCTTGAAGCGATGCTCCAGCGAAGCACCTCATGCCATGTACGAAATGGATGATGCAATGATATAGCCTCCAAATGGTTGATCAATTGGGGATGGTTTATTCTTATGGATAGCACATGAATCGTTTTTGAGCCCAGGGATATCCAGGGATGCTAGATCTTGGTCATTTTTTGCTATGTGTCAATCACTTTTACTATGAGCCATTGGATTTTGTACGGACGCATTTTGGGGTACTCGATTTTGGAATGGTCGATCTGACCAAAAACCCAACAACTGTCAAATATACAGTATAGTTGGAGAGGTCATGAGATATCCGGTCAGCTTGGGGTGACCTATGGTCTCCATATTCCGTTGCCTCATAGGGGGCTGATGAATCCCATCCCCTGGTACAACCACCATTTCTAACAGACAGGTCACCACCACATTTCAGAGCTTTGAGGCCCGGGCCAGACGCTCACTTGTCCGATGATCACCAGAACAGCCAAAGAAAAGGCCGACAGCGATCGCCGTTGTGCAAAAACCATAGCTGTCGACAAGCGGATCAATTAAATAGAGGTGATATGCCTCTGCAAAAAACATTGTCATGTTGGGGCCTGGGAATACCTGGGAATCCTGCATTCTGCGTGCAACAAAAACAAGATCCTGTTCTGACAATTGCCCCGAGTTCCCTCATTTGCAAGCACGGATTTTCCGAATTGTGGGTCCTTGAGCAAAATGGTCAAACATGTCTGGTTCATGTTCCTTCGATACTTTAGCACTGAGATTTGTGAACTAAGGTTGCCAGGAATATAATTAATTACAAGAGGTTTGAGTCCCCGCAAACGTTGCCGATTCCTTCGCAGATGTTCATGTCACATTCCCCATTTGCAGATGCTAAAAGACAATCGGTCCAATCTTTGATACAAGCAAGCCGTTGAATCGGCGAACCTGGACTAGGAAAAAACACTGTCACATTTCTCTCTGGGTCCGTCAAGCAATAAACGAAATGGCACGCTCCATGGGAAGTATGACAGATCAACAGCACAAACGTGCAAAGAAACTGCGGTAGTACATACATAGCAAGCTCCAGCATACATGACTTCAAAAGTTGCAATAAATCTTTTCAACTGATTGAAGGCCCTTACTCCATCCACTCTGAGACACGCATGTCGTACTTTTTTCCTGGCATGAAAAAAACACAAAGGTTGCCATTCTTAAATGCCGGAACGTAAGGAACAGGGCTCTACCCTCCTTACTCTCCAGCTGATTGCCAGAAGTGCTTCAGCGCAGTGACAACTCCAAGACAAGTCTTGTAAAATGTGGGCATTGGTTGGGTCGCAATGAGGTACTGTACCCCAAAACCTGAAGAAAATGTGTAAATCGAACAGACAAACGGGCCCACATACATAGATCATCATGTTTCTTATTTCTATAAACATAGATGCTGCATATTCATATTCATTTGCCCAGTTCTTCAACCGATTTGCCCATTTACTTACGTAGCCATGTGCTTGCACAATCATCGAAGCCTTGTGCCCATCACTGACCAAGAGCACGCACTGGCAGTCTAGAAGCTTTATCAAGAGAGGATGTCCCTTGTGGCGATACAGGAAGAATCATCCGGGAGTTTCGAATGATGTGGAGAATGTGTGTATGCTCTATGGATCTGTATGCACTTACTACATATACGTATTCTCCAATGGTGCTTGGCATCCCCACACTGACATACCCTCAAAGATGACCATCCATGACGCTCCGTGTAAAACAACTTCGCACCTGCTCGTTTTCTCAGGCCATGATCCACACGCGTCCATCCAACTGCAATGTAGGCCGCGCCATGTGTAATTGAAATGATCCCATCTTGTAGGAGGAAATAGCTTTTGGGGTGGAATTATTTGGGCAACCCTATTGACAAAATGCGGCTGCGGGGTCGTTTTCCTCCAGTCTCAAGGACAAGTGTTTGCCTCAACACAGGTGTTGGATGATCCAAGACATGGAGATATGGATGATCCAAAACCTCGGCATTCCCAAACACCATCAAGATGGAAGGAGATCATTCTGATCTTGTTCCTGAGAATCAATAAGAATCAGGGATTCATAGGGATTCCATTACATGTCATTACTTGCATCAAACCAGATATGCTCATTTTGGCACCCATATTGTCCTCAAAAACATGCAAATCAAATCACGAACTGCAAGCCACTTGGAACCACTTGGAACCACTGTTTCGTTGGGTCATCGCCAAACATCTGACACTTCGATGGACCTGTGGAGTGCAATGGTGCATGCTCTCGGAGCTCGAATTCATGTGGCTCAAAATCAGACATTCTGAGCAGAATCCCCTGGGTTCTGGGTTCAGGGCTGGGTCATTGGATGGATTTATGAGAAAATCTAACGGAAGCCATTGCTTTTGCCACACAAGTCTAGGAGTGGGTGAAGATGCGCCAAAACATTGATGGTTGAAGACTATAAATGACCAGCCAGTGACTTGCTGGGTCTTCAATAGCTTTCCCACCAAGCTGTGGATGATGATGTTAGGATAGTGCAGGGCAATGTGTATGAATGAAACGTAATGTCCTGAACTGCAATTTCATGTAGTGCAATGCAATATAGTATATAGTGGAATGGTCTGGAATCTAGCGGAATGGAATGTAATGTAATGTAGTACGCGATTATATCAGAGTATGCTATGTCCCACTATGTCACTATATCAGATCACGGTGGGCCATGTATGCTGTACAGTTACAGTTACATTCTTAAATATGTGTTCGTGCACACGGAACCACCCTATTCTACAGATCCAGCTTACAATTCTGGGAAGACAATTCTGCCATATCTTTCACCGTAGATAACCTCCGAGAATTGGTTCAGGGGAAACTTGGAGGAAGCAAACGTTCATACTTGGACGAGGAAAGGGGGGATTCCGTGTCCTCCACATTTCCCTTAAACCAAACCAATGATATGGCCAATATGGCCTCTCATTTGTTCGTGCACAACACTCCATTCTTCGATTCAAGTTGCAATTTTTCCACGGTCGAGGGAGTTCCTTTAGAAGTGCCAAAATGATACCCCAATCCGTCTCCAGCCATTTTGAGCCGTTCGACAATGAGATGCGCTTATGATGATTCAACCAGTACGTGAGGATTTCACACATTGGCGCATATCATGCTGCCAGGCAGCTAACAACCTTTTTGACAAGATCCTATGTGCATGATCCGCACAGCTCAGCGTTTGGGAGCTCGGTTTGCATCGTTCCCATCATCATCTTCGACTTTCTCTTTCTGTGGGAGCGGTAGGAAGGGGAAAGGCAGCAACCCTTGTTTCCTGAGCACAGGGCGAGGGGACTGGCAGGATGATAAGAGCCTCAACCTGTATTGTAATGGCAAAGGAGAAGGCATAACCTGACTGTCAGAAGCTGAAATTCTTGATAGTCGTCAATATATCATATGGATTCATATGGCTATCTTGCATTACGTCAATTGTTACGTTGCTGTAACATGTTGTAACATGTTGTAACTAGTATTATTGTTACAGCCCCATCCCAGTCGCCAAGACTCTGTCGCCTTGAGCGGCACGTTGCATCATCTTCCACCTCCCGCGTCAGCAGATCCGCCTCGAAGTCCGCCACAGTGCCACGGTCCCCGTGGAAATCGTAGACGCGATTGCCACGTAACCAGAACATGGGCGGCTCATCCAGCTGACTCTCCCGCTCCTTGAGCCTCCAAGCCTCTTCGGTGACCTCGAAAAGGCGCTATTTTTTGGGAGCCCGGGGAGCCCGGTTTGCTTCATTGAGACCTGGACAACATTCAAACTTTGGGATGAAAATCATCCATCCAGATCTTAAATGAAATGAAATGTAAAGGGTTGAACCATCGGATCTCAAAAACGGTGCCAAAAACCCAAGGAGGCGACCATCACAACGTTCACCACGTTGCTCTTGAGACGGATCGCACGTTTCGCCTCAGGTGATCCGCATTCACAGGTTCCGATTTCCCTCGGTGAGAAAAGAAAATATGGGTACGGCTTAAAAATGAGTTGTCAGTAGACTTACACGAGTTCAATGTCTGTTTTGTCAACCTATACGCTTATGACGCTACATAGGCACGCTCAAGAAACTCTAAAACCACAACCGACTGCACAGGTTGAAACGACAAACCAGGATGGATCATATCGTAGGTGCATAGCTAAACACTAAATGAAGATGGGTCACATTTCAGACCCGAAGAAGCATCGCATTTTTCCTTTACCCACATCGCAATATAGCAGTGAATCAAAATGAACGAGCCAAGAAATTGAAAACCACTTGAATTGTGCACATGATGCCTGGTGTCGGGGTAGGGCTCACAGATTGGGGCGGCCAAACAAAATCTTTACCTCAAACACAGACGCTCCCAACACCGTGGATCATTTGGTTGGGAAGATTACAGAAACCATCATCATTTGTTGCACCTGCACCAAATATTGGGTTTCCGGTCAATCTTGTCTTAAACATTCTGAAACTATCATGAGGTCCTACAGGAAGGGCCCCCGAGTTATAAGTTGGTTTATAATCCCATCATACACTATCTAGCTACAGCTATATAATATCTGCCATAAATCCAAGCTAGCCTAGTTGTTACATAGGTGTCCATCTTGCACCATTTGGAATCGGGAAGAAATCATTTAGAACAGGCAAATCTTCTACAAATAGTTTCATCCCCCTAATCATCCCTCTCAAATACTTCCCAATAAGAGACCCCAAAACTTAGATCCAGTGCATTCTCTACCAGGCGAAATCATTAGATCTTTCACTTGGCTGGGATGACCATCGACATCATCGACCATCAGCAAGGGCACCTCGCCGAGACCGTAAAACTCCACCAGGGCATCGGCGATCCTCTGCAGCAGCTCCAGATCCCTGCGCTCGTCCTTCTCGAGGTTTTCGGAGTCATCATCGCTCAAGTCCGCCAACAGCCGGTCGCCTCAACGGCAGGCTTTTGAAGCTGCTGGTTTTGGTTCGCCAAAAAAAAAGTATACAATTGGGAAAAATAGGAGAGTCAAGGTGAATTCAAAAGGCTGGATTCACCGAAAGAGGGGGAAAAACGCTGGTCTTGAGGAACATCCAAGTGTTTTACCGTTTTACCTGGTTCAGAAACCAACAACAACTCCTGACATGTGAAGTTGCTCAAATGTGGCTTGGGCACCTTGTGATGTCACATGCGGAGCTCCAGTGGCCACAGCGGACCAGGCAACAACAGCATCTTCCAGACCATCTGCATGTCGGGCTTGACCAAAAATGCGGGTATTTATGGCAATGTTGAGCATCAATCATGGGGTTTTGTCAAAAAATCATGGATTCAATGCAACCCCTGTGTATATTGCAATATATATATATATATCTGTGTGTGTATGTGTGGTCCCTTGTCTCGTGTTTGCGGCCCCCCCCATATAATATGGCGGGTTACTCCCCCACCCCCCCCCACCCCCCACCCCCCACCCCCCCACCCCCTTATCCTTCCACCCCCCACCACATCCACAGGGGGGCAGGGATACATAGACATATGCATATACACATAC